CTTGGGTTGCTCTGTTAAATTTAGTTTTGTCTCTCGGATTTCTAGTCTGTTGCCAAATTCTTCTTAATCTTCTCTTCTCAGCAACTTTTCGTTTTACATGTAATGGATAGTTGTAGGAAATTAAATGGGTTCCTGTGTTTTGTATATTAGGAGTCGCTTGCCAGCAAGATTGTTGAATTACATTGTTAAAATTTTCTACAGCGTCATCAATGTCATCTGGAGTTTTAAGAGGTATTTTTAGAGAAAGCTCTTCATTTACTCTGTCTCGAAATATGTCCCAGTCAGTAGATTTATTAAACAGCTTAAGAGGCTGTTCTTTACACACAACAGTCGAACTTAAGGTGACAATAATTGGCGAATGGTCTGACGACAAATCTAGGCTTGCTTTCACATCAATATAGTTTCGACCAATTCCTTTTGTAATAAAGAAATCTAACAAATCAGGAATTTTTTGAGGATCTGTGGGCCAATATGTTGGTTCAGCTGTTGATATAAACTGAAAATTGTTATTGGTGACTGATGTCAATAGTTGTCGACCTCTTGGGTTAGCTAGTCTTGAGCCCCACATGGGATGTTTTGCGTTGTAGTCTCCTCCTGCTAAGAACCTGGGGCCAAGTGTATTAAAAAAGTCTGTAAAATTTTGGGAAGTGACGTTATGACGAGGTGGGCTATATATTGCGGATATAGTGAGTGGTCCAGACCTATTTTCTATTACTATACTGGTAGCTTGAAGATGGTTGTGTTGATATTTGGGCAATTCATAATGTGATATGAAGTTTTTAATCAAGATAGCACTGCCACCATGAGCAACGTTGCCTGGGTGGTTTGAGTGGTAAAGTGAGAAATTTGGAATTTTAAAGTAACTAAGATCAGTAAAGTGGGTTTCAGATATAAGCATGACATCAATTCTGTTTTGTATAATAAAAGCTTTAAGTTCTTGGTGATGTTTGACCAAGCCATTGGCATTCCAGAGACCAAATCGTATGAACTGATTCATTTTAACTTAGACACGACAGTGGTCAATAAGTTCAATAGCGAACCTATTTGTTGGGATTGTTGAAGCATCAATTTTTCAAACCGGTCAAAGAAATTTTGAAGAGTTTTGTTTACATCAACCTGAATTACGCTATCACTGGGAGTGGGAGAATGATTTGAAGAAGCAGCTTGAACATATGTCAGTTCATGTGACCTTGGCTGAGACGGTGACTGAGATGACTGGTGGGGACCCTTACTGGAAGGCAAATTGTTTGCATTCATGTTTTCATTTGATGAAGACTGTTGTGATTTATTTCTCAAAGGAGGGAAAGTTTTGTTTTTAAGATCTCTGTAAACATTGCAGCCTTTATAGTTGGCAGGATGGTTGCCATTACAGAGAGCACATAAGGAGGTGTATCTCGGGATTTGGTACACGATTTGGTATCATGTTGTTGTCCACATTTGACACATCGAGCTTTGTACCAGCAATACGACTTGGTGTGGCCGTAAGATTGACAGTTCTTACACTGAACTATATCAGAACGTTTAAGTGGGGGTTCAAAGGTAATCTTAGCATTCAACAGATATTCCATGTTGAAAATAGATTTGTTGTCTTCCTTGGGTTCAAGATCAATGAAAAACACGGACAAAGGAGTTTTTGTTTTGAAGTTCCTTGCATTTGTTACGTTTCTCACTTTGAATCCTAGATCTTCAATAGCTACTTTAATATCTCCGGTGTCAGTTGAGTAGTGCATGTTTTTCAGAACTACACGGTAAGCTTTGTCTTGCTTCACCTGATACGTGTGGAAGTTTATTTCTAGAGCTTTAAGTCTGTGTACTAATGCACGGTAAGCATCTACTGACATGGGATTGATCTTAACTTTGTTGTGACTAAGACAGCGGTAGGTGTAGCTATCATTCGGAATTACTGTTTCAATTGATGACACCATACTTTTAATATTTACAACATCAGAGATAAATATAGGGGGAGGTTTAGGTTGACGAGGAGGGGGCGAATTAGTCGTGTCATCGTCCATCTGATCACTTGTACTAAGGGGCTCAAAAACATTGCTGGTTTGACAGGTAAAACTACCAGAATTTTGACGTGATTTTTTAGAGTCTTGTTCAGAAGAGGATTTTGATCCTCGTTTTTGGGAAGTAGGGACAGTTTGCCATCCACTAACATCATCCTGTTGTAAAATAGATTCGTCAGTACTAGGAGCAACATCATTATTTAATTTGCAGTAGTCATGGTCAACAACAACTTTTTGACTCATATTAGCTTCAGTATAAGACAGCTGATTTGTTTTGGATGGATCCATGTCCAATGTAAACAAAAGAAAGTAAACAAACAAATTTGGAAGAAGGTTAAACGAAAAGAAAAACGTTTTTAACACATATTTCCTCCAAAATATTGATAATTATTAAACACACAACTTAATAATGAGTAATAACTTATATTGTTACCCTTTAGCAACGTAACTTGTCCAAAGTTTGAATCCTTCACATAAAATAAGGCACAGCACTAAAACACGTGTATTCAACACAAAATCAAAACACCTGACCTAGGATGATTTATTTAAAGCCCAATGATTGAACAGCTTGGTCCGGTTTCGAACCATGAAAATGTACTGACTTTTCTCAAGATCAAACCGTTGTTAACGGTTTGAGTGGTAGCACGGCCCCTTTAACTCCAGGCTGCGGCCGCGGCCATCGAAGTGGCAACATCGAAAGTAGTGTTGTTACAGCTGTTTTGTTTGGTGGCAGCTAATGGTAGCTGTTTGTCATGTTATCTTATGGGACATCTGGCGCTAAGCAACACTACTTGCGTCGTTGCTGATTCTACCAGGCCGCGGTCAGGCCTGGAGTTAGAGGTGGCCGAGGTGGTAGGTGAGCACTATAACCATTTAGCTACCAATAGCAATATAAAACCATATAATAGGTACAAAACTGGTTTAGGGGTACCCGGCCCTGATTACATTTCAGGTATACAGTATCTGTAACTACATAACTTCGTGTTTAATTTGAAAAAAAAAAACGTTTCTACAACTATATGACCTCAACACCCTTAAGTAAGTGTAAGGCAGCAAGGCTTTAATTTCAAACAATAATTCTGGGTGCCACACTTTATCTAATGCCTAGGCTACGTCTAAAAATACAGCTACAACCTTTTTATTTGCAAGGTCTTCCTTAACAAATTAATTCACTAAGTCCATGAACTTGCTCAACGGTAGCATGATATGCCACTTGCATGTCTTCGATTGAATCCTAACTGGTGAGAAGGCAACAAGTAGTCTTCATAAATTATGATTTGAGTCTTGTATAAAATGTTGGTTAAAAACAAACGTAAATATAACTGTCTGTGGAAAACGATGTATTCCTGAACACAGTATACACAGAGTTAGTTTTATTTCATATGCCTGTGCCTGGCCAAGAGGTGCCTGACTGATTGAATTCTGAATCCTATACATTAATAGGCAAGCATGTTACATGAAAACCTTTTTCTCAGCTCGCGTTAATCGTAGAGAAAATCAACGAATACTGAATTTAAACTAAAATAAACTAAAAAATGAGCACAAAAATGAATTTAAAGTTTTACAAAATGAACATGGAAATTATATGTTGGTTGCTATGCTGGTGACAAAATCAACCAGAAAATCAAAACGAATGACAGAAATTCCAATCAAATTTGTATTCACAGCGTGGGGTGAAAATAGAGAAGTCTGTACATTTTCCATTACAGTACATATTTTTGGCAGAGTTTATTTAAAATAAAAAAACCTCTCCAATATTTAATGCATTTTTAATTTTATGAGGTCTATCGCCAGCTACGCTTGCATCATCAGACACATCACAAAACTTAAGTTAACTATTCCATGTTTCTTCTGTATCTCAATTCTCTCCGATCATACCAAGTGAATCAAACTTTAACAATCTGAAAGGATTGAACCTGCAGGTATACGCAGCAGTCTCCGATATAATATATAGGGAAAATAACAATTCTCATCAGGTCTTGATTCCAGCCCCTGAAAGTGTAACATATTTTGACTTTTGATTGTTGTTCGGGGCATCTTGGAGATTAAAAAATTTAAAAACCTAGATGTTATCGCCATCCCAGCAGGTACACAACGTCGACACGGATTGGAGGGGGGGAATAGCAAAGGTATGCTTCTTAAATAGAGCTAATATCTCGAATAGATACATAAGAAACATGCTCTAAACGATATTTCGATAAAAAAATACATTAATAAAAAACGATTTTGGTATCAAAAGAAAGCTTATAATGTCCTCTTTGGAAGCAATACAAATTGTTGTCTTATCTCAGTAATTTTCATTTAAATAATTGTTTTATTGAAGCATGTCGTAAAAATCGCATATCAGAAAAGGGACCTCTTGTCGGCCCTATGTTATTTCTGCATAAGATAAGAAAAGGTACCTCTTGCCGGGACTACAAAATTTGTGAGTTATTTTGTTCTCCGTGAACTGAACTTTTATGTAGTTCTCTAAATTTCCACTAGAATGCAGGACAATTCAATTTTTGGACTAAAATCTGTTTAAAAAGTGAATACTATTAGAAATGAGACCTCTTGTCGTTATGGTGAAATAACATTGAGCGACAAGAGGTACCTTTTCTCAGACCATGTAAAGGCTATCAAAATTATTTATTTTGACCTTTAGCATCTTCAATTTGATATTTTAACCAATACTGTCATGTTCTGAGGTATAACAATCGATAAAACCCCGAAATTCGATATTTTCTACCTTAATTACTTATATCAGCCATACTGAACATTTTTTATCTCCGACAAGAGGTCCCTTTGTGCTTTCCACATCACTTTATTGACCATAGTATCACGGCCACCGTGGCCGTGGGTCGAAATACGTTACACTTCTTTCAGTACATATTCAGCCATAAATGCAGGACTAATAGGATAGGAAATAATAACAATCATCGTAAGGCCACCTGGAAAAATATCCAGGCAGCCAAATTGGTTTACAATTTACTAAAAAAGTGATCATAACATAACCTAAAAATTTCAAATGAAATGTCATAATCAAATCAAATCATTTAAATTATAATTCCATCTCAATATCCTCATTTTGTTGCGTATCTAATAAGTGGGCGTTTCTCATGACAGATTCTGAATAAGTTTTAATTTAGGAAATTTTATACCTATAGCAATTAATTAAAGGGACTTAGGACATTTTTTTTAACGATCATGGTAAGTAACTAATGAATTAGGCTAGGTTAATTTTTTCAGTTTAATGGTTTTATCCTATTACAATTAAATGGAGTACTAGGGATTGTGAAGGTTTACCTTAATCGAATCGATAGTTTCAATCGATATTAGCGTAGCCCAGTTAAGAAACTGTACCCTTCATTTTAATGAAACGTTGCTGGTGTGATGTCATAATTGGTAAACTGTGTTAGGCTATTAAGGCTTTAATATTTATTTTCATATGAATAAAATGTTTGCGAAGACATTGAAATTATACACCATTTCATAGCTATAAATAAACCCTTCTAAATTTTAATGTTTTAACCCAATTTTAAAGTCCCGCTTGGCTTTTAAGTAAAGGGAGGTCTATAGAAAACAAAAGTTGTCTTCGCCTAAAAGGTCAATCCCTATTTATTTCTTTAGATACAGATATAGGTCTTACAAGTGGGTTTTAACACGTTCAGTGCGGCATACTTTCATACGGGCGCTCGCCAATGGCGGCGAGGCCCGGGTGAAGCCCCTGAATCGGTGAACGCAATTGGCTTTCAAATATTTATTTCAGTCTGACAAATAAAAAAAGAGCAGCGGTGATTGTGCTGCGTTAGCCCGAGAGTGGAGGTAGTTCACTGAAACACCCAAAGGTAGCAGCACTGCCTGGATCCGTAGCCAGTGTCTTTGTAAAGTGGCACAAAAAGGGAAAATTGCTGGGACCGGGACAAAATAATTGCCAGACGGGATTTTACGAGAAATTTTAGTACCAACCTACACCAGACTAAAGCTTATTCTAAGCTACAGGCTGGCAACGATTATAACGTTCCCCGGCAACAGCTGAGCTCACATTGAAGCAAGGTTGTTGGCATTGGAGAAGGACGACATTTCCTGCCCCACGCTAGTGGTGCCGGTACCGCAGGGCGAGAATTCCCGCACCTCGCACTGAACGTGTTAAACCATATTGGTCATAGCCTAGGATTATCTCACAGTACGTTATTGGTCTTTGGGAGGATTCGGACCTGGACATTTAGGATAGATCTACTCTAGCCATTAACCAACTGCGTAGAGAAAGTTTGCATTATAAATTTGTCTATGAATTGAGTTTCCAGTAAATGTAAACACAAATATCTAACTTATGCATGCTAGGTAAGTTGTATCCCATATTATGCAATGTGCAGTAATTTAAGTATTTACTGGTCCATAAAAGTTCGACTTATTGATCCTATCTTATAGTAATTTTTATTTTGTTTCAGTCGGTCACAATACACACAGATCTTGGAGATTTGAAGATTGAATTGTTTTGTGAATATTGTCCTAAGACTTGTGAGGTAAGAAAACAGCGTTAAAATATTTATGGCCTAGCTCTAAAATCTTTGTGGTTGTAACCCAGTGAACATATATTAAGGCACTTTGTACTGAAGATAAAACTACGACACTATGTAAAATTACTATAAAGACAAAACCAAAACAGATGTTTCGGTACCTTCCTATTAACCTACATTCGTATCTTGCCTTCGGTACCTTCCTCGGCATCATGGCGGGTGATGATACCATATTGCATTGTGGCTCTTGTAATTTAAAAGTTAATACAAGGGCAAAAGCCTTGAAATGTTCCGGGAAATGTGGGAAACCTTTCCATATATCCTGTATTAATATATCTGATAGTGATTATAACAAGTTCAAAGACATTAGCGACTTCTCGCTTTGGTTTTGTGAAGGCTGTCGTTTGTGGTTAGACTCCATAAAGACATCGCCTACTGCTACAACTACAAACACAAACAAGGTTATTTATGATGATAGTTTGGCGCCTTCTGAGAAGCCTGTGTGTTGTGACTGTTTCGGATACATACAAATTTTGACAGACGAATTGTCTAACTTGTCTGAAAATTATAAAATGTTATCTCAAAATGTATCATCTGTAGTACATCAGCAAGCTAAGTTTCATACTGTGTTGGACTCTCACACTGACATGTTGAGTGGTATTGCTCTATCGAAAGAATATGAAAATGACGATCTGGTACTGAACCAAGGCAAAATCAGCTATAGGAATGCTCTGGTAAGCAATGTAGACAAAGGACGTGAATTTCCAGACTCAGGTAGGCCTAGGCTATCCAACATCCCTTCTACGGCTAAGCTTTCAGTAGAGCTTTCCCAGAGTTCTGTAATGAATAATCGGCCTAGTGTTACCTCTGTTCATGAAGAAAAATCTACAAGTACGGAGTTCTCAGAGACTAAAAGTAGTTCCCCCGACCTAGATGTTAACTGTACCGGTAATAAGGCAGGCTACAAAACAGTAACCTACAAAAACAGGAAGTTACAAAAAACTCAGGACAATAGTGTAAAATCTAATTCTATAAACAGCTATGTACATAGGCCTACAGTGAGGAAGAAATCTGTTGGTAATGAAGTTAGTGATAAGCCCAAATCTGTTGCAGTCTTTGGTAAGAGAACGGCTGGTGAAGGAGTGATTAAATTGGGAAGTGTGAATAGGCTGTACTGGATTTTTATCTCTCGACTAAAACCTGACATTAAGAAAGATGACGTTGATAGTTTCCTGTTGGCCAATGGTATATCTGGTCATTCCTGTGAAGATGTTGTGACTAGATTCTCATCATATAAATCTTTTAAGATTGGAGTCAATGAGGAAGATAAGGCAACGCTGCTCGATCCTTTGTTTTGGGATGAGGGTATATTGGTGAAGGAGTATGTACCCAAAAAGCGCAACCTTACCAACAAGAATTTTTTGTCCGTGAAGTCAGGTTAGGTCCAAGTGATGCTAAATCTAACCTGTCGAGTGAACTGATCTGTGGAAATGTTGCCACAAAATTTATTCTGTTTAACTGGAATGTGCAGGGCATTGTGTCTAAATTGGACTATCTTGACGTGTTAAAAAGCGAGATTAATCCTCATATTTTGTGCCTGGTTGAGCACTGGCTCTCTACTGATGAACTAATATTACTTAAAATTCTCGGTTATTCTATTGCTGTAAACTATTGCAGAAAATCTTCTAAACATGGTGGTTCTGTTATTCTTCTAAAGGACAGTATTGAAGGTAAGCCACTCCAAGTCATAAATGGCATGGCAGTTGATAAGGAATTTGAAGTTTGCGGAGTGTTTATTGCATGCTTCAATTTGGTAATCATTAACGTTTACCGAATCCCTGATCGTAGGAAAATGTCAGTAGATGCTTTTATAAATCGACTCTATGATGCTCTTGGCTATGTATTTACGAAGTTCCCAACCTGTAATATTGTGCTAACTGGTGACTTTAATGTGGATCTTTGTGCAGAGGATTATGATACTACTGAATTCCTCAATTTATTAAGTATGTTTGCACTCAAACCTACTATTACTGATATTACTCGTCCCAGTAATAATTTACGTGGCGGTTCCTGTATTGACAATTTTATTACAAATATCCATGTGGATCGTTTCTCCGCTGCTGTTGTTCCAACCCTTGTGTCTGATCATGATGCGATTACGATGAAGGCTACTGTGGACACTAGACCAATCACCACAGATGAACCTGCCCTTCCGCTGAAAAGAAGCAGGCCTATCACAGGTTTTGGATTTACTTACTTTATGTATCTACTTAGCACTTTTAATTGGCTTAGTTTGTATACAATTAGTGATCCATCTGATTCTGTTGATTTTTTCCTCTCATCATTTGTAGCGATAGTTGATAAGGCTTATCCTTTAGTGCAAAATAAGGTTAAGTTGGGTAAAGCCAATGCACGTGTTAACAAATGGTATACCACTGAGTTACACAATCTCAAAAGCTCATGCATTGAAATTTACAGTTCTCTCAAATTAAGTGGCTGTGCACATTTAAGAAATGAATACAATCACCTTAGGCGCATGTATAAGTTTAAACTGCGAACAGCGAAGAGTGAATATTTTTCTAACATTGTAAATCAGTCTGCAAACAAACCAAAAGCCACTTGGTCTGTTGTTAGCTCATTGACCTCTGTAAACACTAAGCCTAAAGCATTTTTAGGTAATAATTTGACATCTGAAGGTTTTAATAATTTCTTTATTGACAAAGTGAGTGATGTTGTCTCTAGTATTTCACCTAGTGTAAATAGTCATTTAGATTTCCTGACAAATGTTGACAAACCTTGCACACTGTTCAATTTTTCACCAATTAGTGTTGAGAATCTTTATTCTATTATTATGGGTATTAAGAATAGCCAATCACTAGATGTACATGGTTTGAATGCAATAATCATCAAACAGGCAGCTCAGTTCATATGTGAACCCTTAGCCTATGTTATTAATTTATGTATGCATGCTGGTGTTTTCCCAAGATCATTAAAATATGTGAAAGTAGTACCTGTATTTAAAAAAGGGAAAAAGGACAGTTATGAGAACTATAGGCCTATTAGTATTGTTAGTATTGTATCTAAGGTCTTTGAGATTGTTCTCAACAAACAAATCGTAGCCTATTTTGAATCAAATAAGATATTTTCTTCTTGTCAGTTTGGATTTAGAGCCAAACATAGTACAATTGAGGCAGTGCTGTCACTTGTTCAGATTAGTTCTGAGGGTCTAGAAAAAAAACAAAGTGTTGGTTGTAGATTGTTTGACCTCACCAAAGCGTTCGACACTGTGTCCCATTCCATACTCCTTAGTAAACTTTCCTTCTATGGTGTCCAAAACCCTAGCCTATCTCTCATTGAATCCTATCTTGGAGATAGACATCAGGCTGTAGTTGTTAATGGAATTATGTCTAGTTTTAAGTTAGTCGAGTACGGGGTGCCGCAGGGCTCTGTTTTGGGCCCTTCATTTTTTATTATTTATATTAACGACCTTCCCAATCAGGTTCAGGATGGGTTCGTACATCCTTATTTATTTGCAGATGATTTGGCCCTCTCTGTTATTGAAAAAAGTGCTGAATCCTTGAGAGGTAGACTAGATGACACCTCTAATACCATAAACGACTGGTGCTGTGCTAATAGTCTATGTCTCAATGATCAAAAGACTCTTGAAATTCTTTTTACTTCTAGCCGTCTCAATGCTGCTAAAGCAAACCCTGTTAAGTTTTTGGGAATTCATCTTGAGCCTGGGTTGGGATGGGAAACTCACATTGACACTGTTGTAAACAGAATATGTAGAGGTATTTTTCTGCTTAGAGTTTTGAGTATGATTGTTTCCATTGATGCACTTGTAACTGTTTACCATGCTCACATATTTAGTCATTTATCCTATGGCACTATTCTCTGGGGTAACCACTCCTCCGTTATTAAATTACTAATCCTGCAAAAGAGAGCTGTACGTATAATGTGTGGAACTAGGCCTAGAGCACACTGCAAGCCTTTGTTTGTTCAGTTAAAACTACTCACTCTTCCAGCTATTTATGTTTTGGATTGCTTAATTTATGTGAAAAAGAATGTCCACAATTTATTGTTATGTGAAAATCTACATAATTACTCTACTAGGCAAAAGAATCACATATTTATTAAGTACAATTATTATTCCAGGACCTTAAAAAGTTTTGAGGTAACTGCACTTAAGCTGTACAATGTTCTTCCTACTGCAATCAAAGACCTGCCACTAAACAAGTTTAAAGACAGGATTAAACACTTTTTGGTTAACAGCCCTATTTATAACACTTGTGAATTTTTTGATCTGGACTATTCATTATTGTAGACCATTGCTGACTGTGTAGCCATTCTATGTAAATGTACCTTGTAATTTATGCATGTATGTGATGCATGATGCAGACCTAATTTATTAATTTATTTATTTCTTGTATGCTACTTGACTTTTATTGATGTGTGCGTTTTTGCAACGTTTTGTAATTATTTTTTGTGACGAGACTGATAGCATGTAGTTGTTGAATGGTCAATAAATTCTTGATTCTTGATTCTTGATTAAAGGGAACATTCATTATTACTGATGATTTTTTTATATATCGATGTTTTTTTTGTGAATCCAATATATCGTTATTATTGAATTGAAACATCAGCTGACAACTACGATAAATAAATACCGGTATTGCTCAATATTAACAAACAATTTAAAAAAATACTATATTGAGATAAAACTGTTCTAAACTAACCTTAACTAACCAAACTTGCTGTACAATTTCAAAATTCCGTTTGATATTCCCCACATGCCTCTTATGTTATCAGACGGAATTTTAAAATGGTACATCAATTTTGGTTAGTTATGTTAGGTTAGTTTAGTTAGAACAGTTTCATTTCTGAATCCACATATACATAGGCCTAATGTTTGCCTAAAGAAGTTTTAGTTGTTAACTAGCTGTGTAGCCGTTCTACGGATGGGATCATGTAGTCAGTTGAAATCTTCTTATAATCAGAACAGCAGTTGGTTTGCATATTTAGTGTGCATTTTTCCAGATATGCAGGCAAAACTCCGTATACAGCACTGTTTCAGGGTGCCTAGAAATTTAATTTAATTTACAATTACACAATATTGCACTTTTGCGATTAATAAAATCTGTTATGTAAGGCACAACGTTTTTAATCTCACTTGGTTTTGGATTTTCTTACAAAACGTGATTGGAAATAGTTGCAGTATTTTAAACAACATTTTAATGTAAACATAATATCCAGTGACAGCTAAAGTCCTCGCCACCCTAACTTGAGGCAGCCCAAGGCCACACGCCGTATATCTAGTGCGGCCTTGGGCTGCCTCAAGTTAGGGTGGCGTGGAAAAATAATCTGTATCCGAACAGCTGTTCTTTACTTTGTATTTTTCAAACAGATGAGTCTTTCATAAATTACGTAAAAGGTAAAGATTAAGAGAAAACTTGACAGTCCGTTATTTTATTTCAAATGTAGTGAGGTCATATTTTAATGGCTAAAGACACTCGCCAATCCAGTGATTACAAAAAGACTATTTGAATCCCGATCGATGCTCTCGTTTTTCAGGAGAAGGCCGTGTAAAATGCCTTCTAGGCCGTGACAGGCAGACAGAAATTGTGATAAGACCAATCACAAAAATAAAACCAATAACCAAAAAATATATAATTCTGAGCTATGTACAGACAAAAATCTAATTTTATTTATATAGATTTGTAATTTATGCGTTTGAAGATATTAAAACTGAAGGAATATGGATCGTAAAAGAAAACAATAATATTGATAGATCTACAAAAACATCGATAATATTGAATGTTCCCTTTAACAGGAAAGTACCGATGTTTCTAACCTGGATCTCATAGTCGACTGACAATGTCACCTTTGTTCTCAGGGGTAGTTGTGGGGATTAAGTCTACCGTCGTTAAAATGAAAACATACCAACTAAATCTCTTCAAATAAATCAACATTTAATCTCTTTTGGTCTTGATGAAAATGTATTTCTTATAACATTTATCTATTATTTATAATGATCTACTGGTACGGTACAGTAGAACTCTTACTATACAAATTGCCGACTGTGCAAATCGCTTACAGAAAGACTTTTAAACAGTTTTTAATAATAATCGTTTCCGGTGAAGGACTTGATCAAGCAAAATGCTGAAAATGTCCTGCCGTCATGTTGACAGCATTATTGTCTCCCCCTGTCACGGAAACATTGCCTTCCGTGGTCATGGCAAATTGTTGAAAATCTACTGCTTTCGGGTAGGCATCATCTTCGTTTTCCGCGATTGTGGAAAAATCTTGAACATCCATGGTAATCCTGTAGACACCATCATCATCTCCTTTGTTCTCAGAGAAGTCATCATTGTCATTCATGAGTGTGGCAAAAGCATGAATTTTACAATGGGAAATTTTCACAGATGCTAAAAAAAATAAAGTACCCAATACTCCAAATGTTAGTAAATATCCGTTTGTTTGAATGTTTGATTGTCTGAATGTGGTACGGTCAAAATTCATTGAAACAATAAGAATTCCACTATACTGTACTTCAATTCAAAGTGGGCTGAATTACTTCACAACTGTAAATACTTAAGTGATTTTGAGTTCATTGACGATAATTTAATTAAGCCTACTACAAACAGATAATTTATTTAAAACTAAGGAATGGGTAATGGGTGTTTTCTATTTTTGTTTTTATGCAATTGATACTTTAGGGGAATAGTATGATATGCAATATGTAGTGGGAGTTTCTCTTTTAATTCTTAAAATTGTTTCTTTCTAATTTGTATTCTTTGCACATAAATAAATAAATAAATAAACGCACAACCTTTTTGTTGGATTAACTTAATTTGATTGATCTGACATTGCAATCGACTATAAGAAGACCCTGTGAATGCTGTAACATGTCAGGATGAACATGGGACATAACTTACACATGAAGAATTAATGCAACCATATCGATAATAATTTCTTGAATAACATATTTTATGAAACTATTCGTAGGTACTTAAAGTAAGTTTAAATTTTCCAGAACTTTTTGGCATTGTGTGCGAGTGATTACTACAACGGCAGCATGTTCCACAGAAACATCAAAGGATTTATTGTACAAACTGGCGATCCCACAAACACTGGCAAAGGTGGAAATTCAATTTGGGGCAGAAAATTTGAAGATGAGTTCAAGGAAAATCTTAAAGTAAGTCTTTATGGTGACAATTTACTCTTTTGGATTTTAAATTTCTACAAGAATACGACAATAAACTAAAGTAAACACATGTGTGTGTGCCTAAAGTAAACCATAGTTGGAAGATGGCTTTTACCTATCTAAAGAATTGGTGAGGGTCAACATTTTTGAATCAAATTATTTAACCATATTTAACATCTCAAGAAAATGGTTGTGTTATTACTGGTGAAGCATAGGCCTACTAGGGAAGAAAAATGTTTGCAAATAATGCCAAGATTTGAGTAGACAATGTCTGGTTAAATACCAGGGTCTTCTAATATAATACCTTGAAATGTTATGCTGCCTTTTACGTTTTACCAATATAACTTATCTCACACTGTGGACCAATCGAGAGAAATCACTAAGCATTCTTGGACCAACAGACCTTTGGTTCCCACTTACTAATTACAAGTTATAAGTATTGTATTGCATAAAACATTCTTCATTACAAAGGCAATGGTGAACAGATGCATCATGGTGTCTACTCTCCGGGAAATTCGGGAAAACCGGGAAAACTCCGGGAATTTTATCTTACCTTGAAATGTCCTGGAAAACTCCAGGAATCCAACCAAACCTCCGGGAATCCACAGCCTGGTCATCGGAATCGTCGGCTAACCAAACACTACCGCTTTTGTTGCCAAAATCGCGGGAGACGATTATCGGTGTCGCCGAAACGGCAAGATATCCTCACGGGTATTGCCGCGATCGCGGGAGACGATTATCGGTGTCGCCGAAACCGCAGGATATGCTTACGGGTTTTGCCGTGATCGCGGGAGACGATTATCGGTGTCGCCGAAACCGCAGGATATGCTTACGGGTTTTGCCGTGATCGCGGGAGACGATTATCGGTGTTTCCGAAACCGCAGGATATGCTCACGGGTATTGCCGCGATCGCGGGAGACGATTATCGGTGTTTCCGAAACCGCAGGATATGCTCACGGGTATTCCCACGATCGCAGGAGATGATGGCTGGTGTCGCTCTACCTACTAGTTATACTGTTTTATTATGTTGTATAAAATATTTTTCTTTGGAAAAGTTTTGTTTTAAATTAAAATAATCATTAATAGTAATAATAAATTATTATAAGCGGGTTGCGATTAGTTGAACGGGTTTCGATAGTAGCTCTTAAAATTCAGGAATTTGTCTTGAATTCTCCTGGAAAACTCCTTGAATTTTTCAAACCAGGTTTGGTAGACACCATGTGCATGGTCGATCGTTAAGTTATCAAAACTAAAACTAAACAGTTAGGCCTACAACAAAATAACAAGAACAGTACAATTGAGAAAAAGTTACCAATTCGAAAAAATCAACAACAATTAATGCAAATGTAGATATTGAAGCATTGTCAGAACAAAAAATAAAAAAACAATCTGAGTCATATTTCTCATAAACTAAAGGTCTTCAATTAATAGTCATTAAAGAAATTTGCCTGGGAGTAATATGATTTATCCACCAATAATGCTTTAGTCCAAATTTTAAATTTTTATAGTGTACCGTATAGAATTTTTTTTTAGTGGATCTTATTATATATAGACAAATCCCCATAGGCCTTTAGTTTTTTTAAAATGAGAGTATTTATGAATTGGATAATTTAGCATATTTCAGGTATTATAAACTATGAGTGAGTCTAAATTCATAAAAAAATGGTATTATTTAAATGAACAAAATTTACTGTTTCATTACTATGACTGGGACGGGTGGCGACGTCCTATTGATACTAGGATGTCATGAATTGTGGATATTTATAGGCATACACTGTGGATGCGATGCTCCCTGGTGTGGATTAACGTCCACACGAGTGAGTACTCGACTATCTGCAGTACTATCCTGATAATTAGACCAATTCGTCAAATACCAAGGAAAACATGTGGTTCGAATTCCACTCCTAACTGTAGGTCCCTTAGTTTCCATTAGCTGTATGGGCTACTAATTAACAGCTGTGTCTAAGGAACATGTCGGCCTTAGTTACTAACAAGACTACAAGATCACGCCACTCATCCTACACTCATCCTTCACTCATATTTGGGTTAAAATACGCACATAGTGGCATCCCCATCTTAAATAATTGATAATTGATAATTGACTATTATATAATTGCTAGCTTTGCAACTTAGCCTCAAAATCACACTAATCACTGGCACCTGCTATAAACAAGATTACAAGATGGGCATCCAAGCTGACCAAGTAATTAATTATTCTTTAGTTGAATCAGAATTGTTTTTGACATCTATAAAATTTTTTTTGGTTAGGCGTGTCCGCACTGTATTAATAGGTTCAAATGTCCAATTTTTATCAATCAATTGATTTAGATTTAGAAAATAATTATAACTAAATAGGCTAGATAAAAGGCAAAGCCCTCACTGACTGACTCACTCACTCACTCACTCACTCACTCACTCATCACTAATTCTCCCACTTCCCATTTACCTAGGAGGCTGAAATTCGGTACACTGATTCTTTGGGCATTAAATAGGAAAACTAAGTGGTTTTTATTCTGATCGGGCTTTCAGGCTTCGCCCCAGTGGCTCTGGAGTTTCCCATGTTAACCTTATGATTTTTCATATCTAAAAGGAATTAATGAATCTTAACAGCTGTATCAATTAAACAAGCTGGTTCTGTTCTATGATGTTCAATAGCAATAAAGTTACAAGGATTACCAACAGGGTGCAGCACTATTATTATTTTTTAAATTTATTACTAACAGCTAATTTGCAACCAAAAGGTGAATGAGCGTAGCGAACGAACTTCAACCTAGAGGCGAGTTAGCGTAGCGAACGAGCTAACCTGAAGGCAAGTGAGCGCAGCGAACGAGCTCCAACCTAAAGGTGAGTGAGCGTAGCGAACAAACTTCGACCAGGACGTGATTGAGCTATGCGAACGAGCTCACTTATGAAGTTAAACGGGGCAAAGACCGCGGGTACAGCTAGTCAATGATAAATCAACTAGGCTAAGATAGTATTTTGGAGGAATGGGATGAGAGCTTCCAACAACACTGAAAGTCACACCACTTGTGGTATGTCAAATTAATACAACATCAATTGATAGTAGAGATTATGTTCCACCTTCACATCTTAGGACGCTAGTTCTAGCCCGCTACTTCAGGCTAGTCCTAGAGGATCACGGCATTATAACATAGATAAAATCAATTGGTGATTGGCGGGATTTGAACCCGGGACCTTGAGCACCAAAGCCCTGCGCTCTACCACTAGACAAGCTCGCACCCCAAAGTTGAGATTGTAGTAAAAAATAAAAAAAGCAACGGTGGTGGGGAAAAGGTTCTTGTATACGTCATTTGTCTACATAGTTGTTGTTACAAAACTGTACATCTGTTTTTTAGCACACTGAGCGAGGTATGGTATCCATGGCTAATAACGGACCCAATACCAACGCGAGCCAGTTTTTCATTACCTACGCGTCACAGCCCCATCTAGACCTCAAGTATACTCTATTTGGCAAGTAAGTATCTTCAAGAATGTAATAAATCAAAAATATTACTTTATCTAAGTAAAAAAACTTATCGACTTTAGATTATGGAAGTAGCCTTCTCACTCTTTGTAAATTTGAAGTCTATTTTGAAATTTTTTTTACATACAGCAACCCTTGATTTTTCAATGTGGACTGTTAAGTTTCACTTTTATCTTATTTAATTATTTTAATTTGACTAACCCTTTGTTCCAGGGTTTAAACTGAGGTAGCATTTATAGCAATTTGCTATACACAACATAAAAATACTACATTGTTTTGCAGGCTATTCAAATTCAAATTACCTATCTTTATTTATAGTAGGCCCTATGTACAAAACGTACAATAAATAGTGTCAAGCTTATAATTACTATGTACAAATACTTAACCTAAAAAAAATACAGGAAATAAAACTTTCTATAGCTGTATGCATTCATAAAAAGTTCATCTATTGAGTAGATGGGTTTTTCTATCAAAAATTCTTTAAGTTTTTGTCTAAAAATTGTTTAATCCTTAATATCTTTTATTTCAAGGTATTATCTTTAAAAACTTTACACCGGCATATGAGGGCTTATTTTTATACATTTCTAAGTTGTGTTTCGGAAGAACTATATTATTTTTGTTTCTAGTGTTCTATTGATGGGTTTCACAATGTGTTTAAAATTTTTCCTGGTTATTTTTTACATGTACGATACATTCCAGTACGTACAAACTAAACACAGTTAATAGCTTCAAATTGACAAATTGACCTATAGCAAATTTGCTAAGGATAAAATTGAAGATGTAATGTTCAACTGTAATATTACTTTGGCAATTTGTTAAAAATGCTTTTTAAAGAATAATATTTTTGCTACAGTTGTCCGAGTTTGTAGCATTTTTGCTAAAAAATATTTAATCCCAGCCTATACCCTATTTTGTACTAAAGTAAAGCAGTCGTTAACAAACAAGTATTATATGTATTAAATACCCCCGCTGCAGCAAACCTGCCGACTAAGCGAATTTCCATTTGTCTGAATTGATTTTCAGTTAAATATATTTTAATAACATTAGGTTTAGCGAGTACCTAGGTTTGCTGCTACAAGGAAACTAATAAAGTGTGTTTTTGAGTAAAATATTGATAGCTTAGTACAAAATAAATAAATTTGCCAAGTTTGATCAAAATATATTCATAAACAAGCAAACTACAACATTTGACAATATTCTCCATAAGAATAACATGGGAATTTTAAATTTACAATTTTTTTAATGTTCTCCGTTACTAATAATCGAACAAAAATACTTTTATATACTAATTAAATTATTTGTTTTTTTAAGCTCTTTAAAAAGGTCTAAAGAGAAATTGGGAAATTTTGTGTTTTGAGGGTCAAAAGTGAGAAAAACCAATTTTTACCCCATAAAACCCCCCGTAAAGCCCCGTTCCCATGGTCCGATCGTGCTGGTTCGCGAACTCATTCAAGTTTATCCCGCTTTACACCTTTAAACCAAATTTCATCAAAATCGGACAAAAATTACTCAAGTTATCGCGTTATATATATATATATATATATACATATATAAAAATTTGAACGAATAGTGTTTTTGGCCTCTGGGGACATCAAAATGAAAAAGTAAATCGGTCCCGGGTCTAGGTCTTACCGTGCCACCTACGGTAATAGCTACTTCCCTATAGGGAAATTCGCTAAAACGAATATATCAACGTGTATATCATTCAAGGAAGATTGCACCGAGTTAATTTTTAACTATCATTATAAAAATTTAGATTCTATATCACAATTGTTTGGCTTTATTGGATACTAAAATTTAAGCGATTTACAGTGAATTAACATGTTAATAAATTGATTCCAATTGATATTTTTTTAAATTTTGTTCCAGAGTAATTGACGGTTTTGACACACTAGATGACCTGGAAAAACTACCTGTGAATCCAAAAAACTACAAGCCTCTAACAGACACCCGCATCAACGGTGTGACCATTCATGCCAACCCATTGGCTGGTTAAGCATCGTCTGCTAGATAACTATTCTGTTTTGACCCTTTGATTGGTAAACCAATACAACTACGGTTAGGAAGAGTAGAACACTCCTTTTTTAAGAAGTTTCAGAAGTACATGTTGTAAGTCTTACTTGTAACTTTAGCATATACCTGATGTAAATAATTTTCTTAAGGTAAAGATTATTACATTTTTATATTTTTAAATACAAATTTGCTTTACTTAATTTCTACATCACATTTTGATTGAGGTATGTCCCTTTCCGTCTTGTATAATTGATTTCTTAATACTGAAGTAGACCAATCTATGTGACAGGGGTAGACCAATTTGTAAGTAGAACATACTCAATAGTATTCACCCTATGGATATAAATAGCACATCAAAACACAGCTTATCTATTGCCATTTTAACTTAACAAAGTCATTTTTCCGTTTCTTGAGGAAAAAATCCTGCCACAGAAACAATATTTACTAAAATGGCATAGTTTAATTGATGATGTTATAAGCACAGCTGATCATTCGTTGTTGCAACAATGAACATGTGACAGCTAAAATAAATTGTGGCGTTCTCATTGCCTCACCCTGTAGAATAGAAATCTTTATTTGCCCAATATAATGGTAGGCTACTCATTTACCTCCGTTAAAGGTAATACAATTGTTTGTAGAGATCAGATGTACATGTTTCGCCACTAATAGGGCAGGGTTGTAATAACACTACTGACATACTGTCACACACACACACAAATAAAAAAAAAACAAACATACAAACAAGCATACTGATATGCTTATTACACGATCCCGGTGCAGGTAATAGACCCTGAAATTGAATAACAAATTGCGACCTCATTAAAAAATTGATGTGTACGACAGATAGTGTGTGGTGCTGGTGAATTGCTTGGCATTCCAGTTCTCTCAATAGTCTAAGCTAATTCAACGTACTAATGTATTAAAACTTCTCATTTACTGAAAATAGAAATATTTATTAAGTACAAAATATACAACAATTACAAAACGCTGCTCACTGGCGTATCGGCAGTGGCTCATCGTAGATACCTTTGACCCTCTTGTTGTCTGGGTCGAGCGGACTCTTGAGTGTGAGAGTGGCGTTGTGCCGCTTGCCCATCACCTCCAGCTGGTACTGGCCGCTCTGTAAGTACTCTGGCGTCACCGGCGCACCGCTCGGGTCTTGCACATAACTGAGGAATAGAGTTTTAAAAGCTGATGTGAAATACAAGCTATTCTAAAGATTGTTCTGTTATATTATTTATTACTATGTAAGATGGGAACACCACTTAGGTGCACATTTTAACCAAAAAATGGATGAAGTATGAGTGTAGAATTAAGTGATATGCCTTGTGTAGCTTTGTTACTTACTAAGACCAGCTGTTTATACTAGCTTCAAACTGAAATGTTGACTGTTTGTGAATATACATGAAAATTAAGGCAGCAATATTCAAATAACTAAATGTTCGATTATTTACCCGAAAGGTATCAGAGATGAAAACAGCAAAACTAAATTAAAAAAAAAATTAAGACGCTTCTTAATGTCGAACGTGTTTTACTCGGTGGATGAGCTCATGGACCATAGGGGATAAACTTGCATTTGCTTGAAGTTGGTTTCACCATGACAACACAAAATAAATAACACTCTAGCTGTATCTTTTTGTCATGTTGTATTTTCATGCTTTATTTTGTTCTATTGTGCCCTTTTCTTTTATTTTGTATATTTTGATGCATGCTATGAAATCATTGTATTGTCTGAAACAATAACGATTATTATTATTATTATTATTATTTCAAAATCTTAACTTATAAATCGTTTGCTAAGATAATTTAGAAGGAACCAATTTATTTTTGTGCCCTTTCCTTTCAAAGCACAGTATGCCAATAATAAAATTGGCTTATAAATACAAAAACTAAACCAATTGGACAATTATGAGAAGTTGATAATGCAGCCATAAGGAACTAGTTTGAAGTACATTACAGGCCTAAGTGTAAAAGGAGATCTCATTTACCCCTGTCCGATGCTTTTGCCGAGAGCGTAGCCGTATTCTCCCCTCCTTAGGAAGCCAACCACCGTGTCATCTCTGAACACTGGCTCTGAACCCCATAGAGGCACTTGTCTGAAACATTGCAAAGTCAAACTGTACCATAACCTGGTGGTCAAGCTTTGCTAAAAGAAAAGATTATTTTATGAGTTGTAACATACTTGATCAAGTAGACAGAACAAACTAAATTCCTCATCATTCCCCCTACTTCCCTCTTGTTGGAACAAGTTTTGTACAAATGAGAGAAGCAGGCTACTCAAGTAGCTATTTACTAAATGCTCGCATATTGTTTCATTAGATTCTTGGTGGTAGCGTAAATTTTCTTTCTTAATGTTTCCGAATACTATGGCAAGACTAATTGTCGTGCAGGTGTGAGAATTGGCTAGATTGGTAAAGGATGAAGTAAAGGAAACGACATTGGTCGCAGATTTGTTCTAGCTTGCTTGCTTGCGTGCTCAAAGGATACTTTGATTTAAGGACATCTCCCATAACAGTTGAATGTACTATAAAACATTAACTACATTACCAACACCTAGCTGTAGAGAGGTTCAGCCAATAAATTTATTTTATGGTACTGGTTGTTTACTACTTACTCATCAATTGTTAAGAAAACGTGTCGCTTTTTGATCCCGTCTTTTCTACTCTGCTCGACTGCATCCCTGCCGAGGTAATCTCCCTCAGACTTGAGGGTCTGAGTTAGTCCGGCCTCAAGAGGATTGTCATTTATCCTCAGGTCCGCATTCCACAGTCTTATACCTGTCAACCGAAGCAACAGGGGTCAGATCTCAAGTGTAGTATGGAGCATCAATGGCAAGGTTTCAATATGCCTATTTGTAGTTAAACGTAATATTTGATGTTTTAAAAAACCACTAGGACAGAATCAAAAGCATAAAATGACCAGGATGAATTAGGTTAGCAGACAGATAACAAAACGATTCATGTATGTCTGTAAGAATCTTTTTTGATTTATCACGCTAATCTGAAATAGGAACAGTCTAGCATCCTTGCACAAAAAACAAAGACTTTACATAGTACATAAAAAATAGAATATTCTCTATTCTTGGTTGAAAACTCTGTCAGAGTCAGTGAAATATTCTAATTTTTATTTTATTTTATTATTTTAAATAAAATAAATAAATAAATTTAAATGTATACTTTAAAGCCTTTGTGTCTCTTTTGTCAGTATGTAAACTAGCTGTCCAACAAAAATCCTTATACAGGTCATTGTGCCCTTTGTTACATCAATATGTGGTAATCTATGTGTTACGTTCATTATACCTTACTGATGATATTGATAGAAATTACACACATGTTCTATGATCATTAAAACTGTTTTTGTAGCAACCCAAAAGGATTTTTAATAATTTTAGGCTCATGCATTACAAAGTAAAGAACAGCAATTAGTTTTTCTTTCAACCAGAATAGTAAAAATGTATCACCTTTCTCAGAGCTGAGTGAGTACAGAGCTCTGTAGCCAGCCTGACGTAGGCCATACTTGACCCCTGTCTCCCACAATGCATTGTACACTGCCAGGCAGGACTGTGTAGGAATGTGCAGCTCCCAGCCGAGCTCGCCAACAAAGCTGGTACGCAGCGCACGCACGGTGTGTCCGGCGACGTTGATGATACGAGCTGAGCGGAACGGGAACGTCTCGTTGCTCAGGTCTACGTCTATTAGACTCTGTAGCATTTCCCGACTGAAAAGCATTGGGAATGTAGAGCATAATTACATCAATTTATATGCTTCATGTTGGTATAGTCTCCGTATTACTGATAATATTGAAAATGGTGTATAACTCCTTACAGTAATCTACCATTTGTACATGGCAACTAATTTGCACCAAATTGGTGCCGTCTTCAGGATGTACGTGGACAGACGTCTTGTAGATATTGGAAGTCACTGATCCAGTGAAAATTGAGTCTAAACCATAAATGCTTTAAACAGAGGTGGCCCTACATACAGGCGAACAAGAAGGTGTCTGGGGCCCCACGATTTTCAAGGGCCAGCCGTATTTCAGGTATTAAGAGAGGCCTGCTATTGAGCTTCGCCTTGGGCCCTGCAATCTCCAGGACTGCCACTGGCTTTAAATATACTAGGAGCCTCAAACACATTTCAAATTCTTGGAAATGTGCCTTATGAAAGGTTTTAAGAGATCCATTTTAACAATAACAACAGCAGACCAGCCGGCAATCTGGTTTTATCCTAATACTAAAAAGCAGAGTAAAATACTTTGATACATACATCCATACATGTATTTTTAACAGTTGAATTTTTATAACAGATCTTGAAAGAAAAAGTGTAGTGGAGTGTACTGATTGTCTTGTGGAATAGAAATACTACAATCACAGCTTTTTTAACATATTCGTAGCTATAGGTGAATCACGCAATAGTCGGATAGGCATACGTGTAAGAATTACAAGTTTTTATATACAATTTAAAAATGTATTTACTGAGGGATCAGGAGTAAAAAGAAGAAGGCCAAGAAAAATATGAGTTGACCTCCTCAAGCTAGAACTGAGAAGCTGGAGATTGATGCTAGAAAAAAGAAAGTAGTGGAGCCAGATATAATATCCTAAACCGCAAACCAGTTAGCAGCTCTTTATCATATTCTCCTTTAATTGAAAGGCTAGGAATATTCAAGAGCTGTAGGGAAGAATGTTCACTCACCTCTTGGGACCCTGGATAGCCAGCAGTCCGATGTCTTCAGACAGGTTACTGAGCGAGACCTTGAAACCTTTCTGTTGGATCGCTGTGTTCATGTGAGCCCAGGACTGTGAGGCAGAGGCACCAGCTGCAACAATGTAGAACCCTCGACCCTGCAATATAAAAAATGTCGGTGCAATTGAAATCATTTGCATTATACAAATGTCAATCAGACAAAAATAGGTTGACCGTTGTGTTGAGGGTACAAATCATCCCTAACATGGTTTGCTGAAGTTTCCGCCTGTGTGGACATTCATCTTTAGAGCTGATTACATTACAAATATGTTGGGTCACATAAATACTACATTGCACTGTGGAGGTGGAGTTTGCAGCAGGTCAAATACAGGGTGGCGCAGATGGATCGGGTGGTTTTAAAATACTTGTCAAACTGTCAATTTTAAAGGTATTGGATTGAAATAAAGTGCAAAACGTGTAGTTACAATGGAAGTTTATTGACAAAAAAATTGTTAAGTTAGTTTTTAAAAATTACATCCATCAAATGCCTTCCTTCTCGAGCGACGCATTCTTGGAGTCGGTCCTTGAGGTTCCACATTGCTCGCTCAAGCACATCACCAGGAATTGATGTGATTTCGTTGTAAATTGCAGCCTTCAATTCCGAATGGTCCGGGGTTTGTTCATGTAGACCCTTGCTTCAGGAGTTGAAGGCTGCAATTCACAACGAAATCACATCAATTCCTGGTGATGTGCTTGAGCAAGCAATGTGGAACCTCAAGGACCGACTCCAAGAATGCGTCGCTCGAGAAGAGAGGCATTTAATGGATGTAATTTTTGAAAACTAACTTAACTAATGTTGTCAATAAACTTCCATTGTAACTACACGTTTTGCACTTTATTTCAATCCAATACCTTTAAAATTGACAGTTTGACAAGTATTTTAAAACCACCCGATCCATCTGCGCCACCCTGTAGGCCTACTTTGCATTGGGAATTATAATTCCTGCTTTAAGATTCAAAGCATGTTATTGGGGCTGAAGCTTCAGCACACCAATGTCATGTGCCATTTTACCCCTAAGTGATTTTAACCACAATAAGATTAGTGTTTTGATAAGATGAACAAAATTAGTGGATTAGTGTGACAGTGGAAGCCTTCTAATACCACATTTGACAGTTTTATTGTATCTTAAGTTAGTTCCTATAGTTCATACTAAATTTTATGTAGTTATTGCAGTAATTAGCTCTTGTACTGGAAAATCAAACTTTTTGTTACCGTTGCTTGTTACAAAATGTCAACGAGCTAAACCAAAACTATGACTGATAGTATTGCTCTATATTTTATAACTGTCTTTGCAACAAATATATTTAACACCCTAGTAGAATGGCCTTTATAGGAAAAAACATTTTTTGAATGAATAAAATATAGTTAAAAAGGAGCATTCAAAATATTTAAGTGCAAATACAATAGGGCCTACCATATCTACCTAAGTACATTGGAGAAAAGAGCTAAATGTAGTAAAGCCAATTTCATCACAAATTAACTTCTTTTAACCCCTTTAATATCGGTTCACAAAAACCCATTTACACTTAATTTTCCCATCATTTTTTTCATAGATTTTATGTTTTATAAAATGCTTTACTTGAGTTATAAACCATAATTTTCTTTTTTGCAGAATAAATAAACACTGTTTCTTAAATAAAACAAGAAAAACCCATAAGTATGACAAATAATTAAGCGAAGCTCTTATACGTCGACTCTTATTATCATCAAAGTAGAAAAAATTACAAGCATACCTTAAAAATAGGGTCCGACTGGGTTCCACAGCCTGTGTTGATAGCCGTGACCAAACAATCACCCTCAATTCCACCCTGCTTGTTAAGTATACATGAGTACACAATGTTGCCGATTGGTCCGTTAGTGTCGGCCGTGAACAGCCAATCAGCAGCCTCCTGGGCATCCGGTCCCGTCAGATAGATCTTGCTGAAGTATGACATGTCAAACATCACAACATGTTCCCGACAAGCCAGACACTCAGCTCCGATGACGTGGTGATGTTTAGAGAACTTGAACGTGTGGTCGCCCTTCAGTAGATCCGCGTATCTTGTGTCCTTGTTCTTAGGAGTTCCGTATGAGCCGTACCAGTCGTACGGAGGGACCGGAGCATGACCTTGGGGCGTGAACCAGCCGGGGCGCTCGTACGCTTGCATCTCCTCATAAAATGCACCGGCGACTAAAAGTTCCTGTGAAATTAAATTGAAGTGAATAAATAATCAAGGTATTTTTTTCTAACTGAAAATGTACTGAGATTCTAAGTAACAACTTACAGAGTAGCCATACCAAATGGAAAATAAAAATAGCATGTGATTTGAAATCAACAAAAATATTGAGACTATTTTACCATTAAACCCAAGTAAAAGTTATTTTCATGGAGTTTTCAGCTTAAGGCACATTATTTTACATATTTCATATCATCAACATTATTTTATTTCAACAATGTACAGAACAGAATACCTCATGGAATGGGTCTTTCTTGAGGTTGCGACCCGCGAGTGGTTGGTCATTGGGGTAGACAATGCCGTACTTCTTGACGTAACACTCGTGGCATCGCTGCTTGGTCCATACAGGGTTGCTCATCTGTTCCTTTGTAAACCGTCTGAAGCAAAAATAAGTAATTTTCTATCGGCTTTTTTTAAAGTTTAAGTACTTTGCTTAAGAATACATTTGGGGGGAAGAAACGTATACACAACTTAGGCTATATGTTTTATAAGACACGTACCTGACGTCGCAGCTGTACATGTGAAGGTCTGGTCGTCCGTTGATGATCCACTTGGCCAGCTGTTCTCCACAGCCTCCGCTCAACATGAACCCTGCAGAGTTGAACCCTACGTTGTGGTACATCCCTAGCAGTCTGGGGTCTTCTCCTATACATAACACATGAAAACGTTTTGAGACAGTGGCTCAGTCGACAGCGTGAAGGATTATGAATCTAAGACAGCAATGTTATGGACAGTATCTGTAACAATCCCAGTACAGACAAATCTTTACTAGTACACTTCATTCTAGTGAATCGGCTCATCTTGCTTCACTACTTTCCACACATAGGCCTGGGGCCAATATGGATGGGCAAACTCAAATTTAAAAGAGACTACCAACCTCTTAAATAAAAAAAAAAATTAAAGTAATTACAAGTATATTACCGACCCACTAGAGGCATGAGGTCAGGAGTGAAGCAGTGAGGGCCGCACACGGATGTCTTGACTCCCGCAGTCTCAAACGCTGGCACCAGCTCCGCGGCTTTGTTCTGGTGGGATTGGAACATTTCCCAGTCTAGCTCGAACAGGTCAAAGGCAAAGTCTTTAGGCATCTGTGAACAAAAATCACATCTTGATGGTAAAGTTTTCAATTCAACCTTTAGAATCCTAATTGTTTCTTCTTCTAATCTTTTCCCCATAAGACAACAAAAACTTCTTTAAACATTGTTGGTGGATAAAAGCACAGTATGGATGTATAAATAAAAAGCTCAATATCACTGATCAAAGATGAAACTTGCAAACAGTCACCAGTACTGTCAGGTGCTATCTGCTAGCCAGGAAAACAATTCCCAATATTGGTAACCCAATGCTTGCGAGATTACAGAACATGTGACGTAAAGTTTTCAGTTGTCTTTTTGAGTTATGATTAGATAGTTGCAGAAGTTTATTTTCTATGTTAATGATCTTAAAGTTTACCTTTTGAAAGTGTATAAAGATGTAATACAATCATAGTTATAGTTAACATGTAATATTTTAACTAGGGGTTTTTTTCTTTCCATGTCCGAAACTGAATGGAACTGTGACATGATTTCCTAGTCTCTCTTTTACATATTCTTCATGTAAAAAACATCCAAACGTTTTATTGATAGTAATGATAACAAAGTAAAGATGGGGGTGACTCCAATTAATTACAGTCTACCATCACCATTGGGACCACTCGGTATGATACAGCAATATTTGTAAGTTTTGATTTCTGTTTTGTTTTTGTTTTGTTCTATACAATTGTTTATCTTGATTATTTACTTTTTAAATATAAATGTGTACGGTACTGAAGAAGAAGGTTAGGTCTATTTTTTATCACTTACTGATAGGTTTTCCAGTTTAATATGTTTTTCTGATTTTGCAGACTGGCTAAACAGATAGTCTAAACATTCTACAAGTTCATTACCTCTTCCAAGATGACTGGATTTTTCTCAAACCCTCCGACAAACATGTTATCCTTGTATATCCTTATATAGATTGACGAGTCTCCGTCTCGTATGTTTGGCAGTCCCTGTATGGCTGGTAGACTCTCACTTACGACGTACGAATGTTTCAACGCACACAATGGCAGCGTCAATCCAGCCAGCCTTGCTGTCTCAGCCGCCCATGCTCCTGCAAAGATCATTGCTTTGATAAGATAATAAACATTATAAAACAAACAAGTTTATTTTATGGTTCCTAATGGTTTCTCATAGAGTTAACAAAAAATTGACTAAAAAATCGTTTGGCACAGTGTTGGTCACTTGTATTAATTTATCTTAAAGTAGAATCTAAAATGAAAAAAATCTCCCCTTTACAAAGCTAAGCCTTTAAATTCCAGTTGACTGGGAAATTCACCAGGTAATTGGACAATACATCATTGGACCATTAAGGCCCAGCGCACACGATGTGACTGTTTTACAACTTTTGTTGCAAACCAATTGCGCGTGCAACTGTTTTGAGACCTCGGCAATGTATTGTAGTGGGGAGACGCACACGATGCAACTGGTTGTATGCGATTTCAAAAAAAGTTTGAAACCAGTCACATACAACCGTGGGCCTGACGTTGCAGTTGCGTTGGATTTTTGAAATAAGAATATGCCTATATGTTAATCGGGAATGTGAGCTATCATCATGCCAAATTTCAGCCCAATCCGACCAGTATTTTTCGCGTTCACTTGTCACAAACATACATCCATACATCCAAACTTTCTCATTTATAATATTAGTAGGATAATGTCATTTTGTTATACTTTTGTTGTTTTGAATCCAGCTTGTATCTTAAAAACTCACTGAGGACAGTACAATCAAGGCCCCACTAGAAAAACAGGCCATGCTGCAGCATGGGCAGCGCAACACTACGTCACAGTGGTGGATAGTTGTACTTAAACTCTTACCATTAAAATCTTGTACAAACAACCAGCTTGTTTATTTACCTAAAACATATGGGAATAGCGATGGCAATGAATTTATCAATGAAATCTATCCACTAGTGTGACGTCATGGATCCTGCAGCATGGCCTGTTTTTCTAGTGGGGCCTTGGTACAATAACAATTTCTACTAACTTCGCTAAACATATGCTGATCACTTCTGACTCTACCTAACGTGCTTAAATAGCTTAAAACTGCATCCAAATTTTTGTAAACCTGTAGGCCGTTACGTACTTTTTATTTGGTTTGAAAATATTCTTAACTAACTAAACTATAGGATTACTAAAATAAAAATAATTTATATTACTTTCACTTACTTCGTTGAACTATTAATATTAATATTGAGTTGTTAATAATTGATGGAAGTTATCTAACCTGAGCAGTTGACGACACAGCTGGTTTTGATGGTGCCGTAGGGAGTAATGACTCCGCGTACTTGTGGGTGGCCACCAACGCTGCTGGGTCCAGTCACTATCTTGTTTACAGGACAGTTCTCTACCACCTGAAAATACAAGGGTTTTATTACCACAGATATTTTGATAACGTTTTGTGTTTGATATAGAAATGTTCAATCAATTCAATTATCAATCATTGAGGTGCGTATTTTAACCCAAATAGGAGTGAAGGATGAGTGTAGAATGGTGTGAGATGATCTGTGTAGCTTTGTTACTGACTAAGATCAGCTGTTTCATTAGCCAGGATCATTTAAAGCCCAATGATCAGAAACAGCTGGTCCAGTTTCGAACCATCAAAAAGCTACTGACTTTTCTCAGGATCGAACCGGCTTTGTTCTGAATCAAAATAAAACACTAGTGCTTAAGCAAACATGTTTGTAAGCTATGATGCATTGAATTTTACACTTTTTTAATCCTCACAGTGTTCGGGAAACCTAATTATGTGACCAAAAACTTGGGCTCTTTTCCTCTTGTTTTTTTTTTTTTTTCATGAAAGAAATTGAGCTGTTGAGCACAAGAGGTGACCAAGTCACAGAAAAGTGGTACAAAAGTGAAAGTCTTACAATTGCACAGAACATAGACTTCTATACAAGTGTGTTACTCCTACATTGTCTTGTTTTTCTGCTGAGAAATTCTTACTGGAAGTGTGTTAAGGGTTTACTGGTAGGTTGAACATCAAAACTGATCACCACATAACAGTTAAAAGACTTTTACAGCCTGCATCTAGAAATATCAAGATTGAACATATTCCTAGTGGCATACTAGAATTGTTATATGAACCATAAGAATAGAATAAAGTAGGCCTAATGAATAAGAAAATGTCTGACCAACAAAACTATCATTTCAAACATTCAACTCTTATTTTCCATTCGTATTTGCCTTAAATAAACATCCAGGTGTGTCAATCGAATCTGACCATTTTTGCAACTGTTTTCAGCCAATTCTGGGCCCAGAATATATATATACATTCAAAATATTACAATAGCAACTCACCTGAGCCCCCATAGCCAAAGCCCCTGTCGTAAGTCCGCTACACAAAGCAGACGGATCAGCTGTGCCGTCATTGGGAGAGTGAAGAGCTCCAAGGATGACCTCCTGGTTAATCAAGGGAAATACCTACAGCAAAAATATCAATTATCTATTATTTTGTATTATCAATTGCCAAAAATCAAGCATATCCTGGTTCAGGAAATGAAAAATTATGTCTATATTCTTTTTGGAATAATATATTTATTTCATATTCTTTTTTGTATAGTCCTAAAAAATTGTAACATGCCATGTTATTGTCCATTATATGCAGGCATTAAGATGTCACATACACTACCTTTTCATATCAGAGCATTATGTTTCATAGAGTGTAGGTAATACACAGACCATATGGTTTATACTTAGTTCTTGAATCCACTGACAATTTGTACCTGGCCGTGGATTTTAGCTTTAGTTTCATAGTATAGGTCGGCCGTTTAGAAAACGACCTGCGCGAAATTTTTAGCGCATGTAGGGGAGGTAACGGCGAGGGAGGGTAAGTTCCCCCTCTCCGCCAATTGCTGTTTTCACAAAATGTGTGCATAGTGACGTCACGTGCTAGCTGAACGTGTTTTATTTTATCAAATCATATGTTTTCTTGTAGTTTCCCAAAGACTTTCGAATGAAAATCATTATGAATTAGCATTGAATATATAACACTATTTAGCGTTTTATATCCAATATAGTGTTGTATTCAATATTGAATATAGTCATAGTGTTATAAAGTACAGGATGTGGCAAAAAACCGATCCATTTTCTGCAGAGCACTGTTCAGCGACAGGTTGTCTGAAAGTGGTGGGAGTAAGCTCGTTGGAAAGTCTACACAATGCCATTTTTTCTATTCACAGAGCAGTGGTCGCCTGAGCTACGTGAGGTTGTTATGGAGTTGTTTTTAAAAAGTATTGAATTCATTTATTGCAACTCAGCAGCATAAGCAGTTTCGTGCGTTCTTTCAATTAACACTTAGGCTACCAACTATACTCATCCCTCAGTAACAGAGTAGTGTGACGGTTGGTAGAGAACGTAAGGCGACATGGAGAAGTTCCGTTGCGTATAACAATAATGCGGTGGGTTACTAACTTTAGAACAACGGCTTCTGCGTTGAAAAGGAAGCTGAAAGGCCGACCAAAGTCAGATCGGATGCCAGACAATGAACATTCGACAGAGTTCGTACTGCTGTGGAAAACAGTCCCTCGCAGGCCCACCCGAAAACAAGAGGCTTGCCGAAAATGTCTGACTGCTCAGTTACACGAATTTTAAGGTTAATTTTCATCCCTACAGATTAGTTAGAATAATAATCTGTTTAATGGTGTTATCCATACAGATAATCACAACGGAACCTTTTTTGCAACTCCTACTTATGTTTTATATAATTGAAAATCTCTCATTTAAGTAGCCTAAGTGGAAAATAAATAGTTACAAATAAATTGACAAGATTCTTTTTACATATATTTAACAAAAACAGCACAAAACGACATATAGTGTAAGTTGTCGAGGTTTTTTACACTAAAATGATATACACTAAACTCAAGCACTAAACTACTAAACCCGTTGGATCCCCTCGGACTATGGTTTTTCTTAATAACTTCAAAGATTTACTAGACGCTTACCGAATGGCCTCTCTCGTTTTAAGAAGTGGAAAATCATGACCACAGCAAACAATCACGAATGCAGGACCCACCGCAATGGCTGTTGCCACGATAGGGACAATCATCACGAATCTCGCCGCGATTAAGATATGGCCGCAATCACAAAGAGTCATGAAAGCTGAGATAACCGCTGATGTTGCCACGATTGTGTAAGACGCATATAACGTGATTGCAATTATAATGGCGTTGCCACCAACGCAAGTAACGATCACACATCTTAGTGACGGCCTTTTAGTGAATTTCCTATAAAGGGTATAAGCTATTACCGCAGTACTCATGGTAATACCTCTGGACCCGGGATGGCTAGGCGTATAAAAGAAAGTGTGTGCACGCACATCCCCCACCCCTCCAATCAGCCAATCAAGTATTTACTGCTTTACTGTTTTTCGGTTAAATGGTACCATATAACTGTACAATATAACTAACTGTAGTAGTGTTATATTGTATAACACTACTACAGTATATTCATTCAATGTTGAATACAACGCTACATTGGATATATAAAACTAAATAGTGTTATATATTCAATGCTGATTCCTAATGATTGTCATTCGAAAGTCTTTGGAAAATTACAAGAAACCATATGATTTGTTAAAATAAAATAATGGGTGATGGTGGGGTGGTAGCGGAGTGGGGGAAGAGCCATATTCTGTCTTACTCCCACGGCTCGGTATCTCTCTCTCGCACCAATGCTACGAGGAGGACGCTTTCTAAGCGGCCGACCTATAGTTGGGTATTTTACAAAGTATACCTGTTTAGTTTCAGCTGGAGACAGTAAGGTTGCAGGGATTCCAAAGCTCTTGGCAATAGTTGCTAAACGCTTCAACTCTTCCAGCCGTTCCTGTAAACAATCGTTCATTCAACAATCCTAACTAAAAAACAGCATAAGAATAAACAGCAAGCTGGCTACAGAACCTGCACAAACTACCACAACGAATATTTATCTTAATTTGTATGGGCATAAAATGTGACTTGTATAAGAAGTCTGTAGCCATTGTTAGTTAATAGTTTTTTATACCCATTGGGGGTTTCCCTGTAACAGAGGAGCAATTTTAAGGTGTAATAAACAGTTTTTTTTTTAATGTTGATAACATGTCTGGTATGACTTCTCAAGCAACTGTCTGAGCATCTCTTGCGCCCTTTTACAAAGCAGCCATAGCTTCTTTTTTAAGAGTAGGTGTTTCCGTTGAAGATCGGAAAAGCAGGACAAATGATGTCCCGATATTCAGGAAAAGGGGACACTTTGAAAGCAAGAAACTACCGTCTTATTTTTCTCTTGACCAAATTTTGTTTCACCAATTTAAAGGTTAAAAAAATTAATAAAAAGAAATGAGAAAAAATCCTATCTTTATAATCACAACTTGAGAAACCGATTATAGGTACTGTATGTAGTAAGTATTGCAATACAAGTACCAAGCAATGCAAGTGTCAAGTCTATTGGAAGGTTCATTGGTTAAAGAATTAAAATGAAACGCCTGCAGGTGTTTCCAGCATGTGTTCACCAGCATGCTGGTGATGGGGATTATGATGGTTTATTTGCATTACATAAAAAAACACTCTCTTAAACAAGTCAATGATTGTCTGGTTAGCCAAGAGGATACAGTAATCTGGTTGTAATCTGAAGGTCACTGGTCTAATTCCATCCATACAAGATTGAGTCTAAACCATCATCAGGCCATTAATGATGCTATCTAACATAAGGTTATTAACACAGATAACTTAACCCTTTTTAAATTCTGACAATTCAGATGCCAATCTAACTTGAAAAATAAATATAATACAACATAATCATACTTGACACAAATGTAAAAAAAAATTACCTTTGTCCGAGCAACGTAGATGCCGCCGTTGTTTTCCCACTGCGGGTCGACCCCTGTCTCCTGTTGTATTCGCAACACCAGGTCTCGTGAGGCGTTGAGTAGCTGCGTCTCTACGTCGCGTGGCATGATGCTCCAGATGATACCAGTATTGTGCCATGTTGCGCCGGCTGTCAGCTTAGCGCGTTCAAGCAGAACTGCCTTGACGCCGTGTCGTGCTAGTTGGTATAACGTGTTACATCCTGCGCTGCCTCCCCCTATATCACAATTTTAAAGAATAAGTTGTTGCAGGTATTTGAGTACATAAATTGTTACATCCAAATAAATAAAAGGGTTAAGGGGGTGATGATTTCCTCTCATAAGCAATTTTTTAAAGCCAATCTTTTATCACAAATTAATAAGTGGACATTTAATTTTATATTTCCTTCACATTAAAGTTTGTATGTACGAGTGTTAAGTCGTAAAACTTAATTAATAGCTATTTAGTGTTACAATGCAAATGAATATCAAACATATTTACCTTTTATTTTTCAAAATTCAAAGCTTTTCATTCATATAATTTGTAAAAAAAAATGATTCTCCACCTTTATTTAAAAAAGATTAGTAAATCTTATAGTGTCTATAGACCTGAACCAGCCAACTATACTAAATTTGCAAATTATATATAGCATTTGAAACCTTTAATATGATTAAATATTGAATCAAAATGTGATGTGTGTGGCTTGTTTTGAGAGAAGGATGCATGCTAGCAGGCAGATGGGGTCAATCATTGCTTCCTCTCACTAAATGTTTATTCATCCAATCAAGAGGTTGACCTGAACAAATTCTGACCAGTTCAAGTTGCTTTCATGTTTGGTCCCTTAGTTATCCTCAATTCACCAATTCAATTCAGAGAAAGTTTCTTTCACAGCCGACAAGAAATAATTTGTGACGAATAAAATAAATTGAGAGGGTTTAATTTTTGTTTGAATAGATTTTAAAAGTGTGATTAAGCTATTTAATAGATACTAGAGGTCATACAGTGGTCGAAAACTCAACCAAAAATACAGACTTCTCTATTTTCACCCCACGCGGTAAATACAAAATGTGATAGGAGTTTCTTCCATTAGTTTTAATTTTCTGTATATATTTCGTTGTTATTTCATCACCAGTATAAAGCTGATGTTAATTTTTAAACATTTTAAAATTCATATTTTGTGATTATTTTTTAGCCCATTTTAATTTATAAATGGATTCTGCACATCTACAGGAAAAAAATTTTCTAACAGTATGCGTAGATTTTCCCTGTAATGCACACAAGCTGAGAAAAAGGTTTTCAAGAAACATGCTTGCCTATATATACATATTTTAAAAGATAGTAGACAGTTGTTGATGGGTTATTATCTCTAATCATCTGTCACTACCACAGCTTTTGTATATTCAAGGGCTGCATTTGTATATTCTGCGTTCCCCCCCACCCCCCCCCCCCCAAGTTGCTAAACTCGGGTACATACTTTTACAAGTATATTGTGTGTCAAGTTTGACTCATGAGCCCCAGGTGTTATTTATTGATATAAACATAAAATGTTCATAGCATGTTTTGTTCTTTGTGTTATGAACACAAAAACTGTACACATAAACAAATATTTTGGACACACACAAAGAAAGAATGAGTAAAAAAATGTCTAAATGTTGTTGAGGTATGAATGATCACAAAGTATTCATCCATTATGTCAATTTACGAACGAGCAAGTACTATATATTTATTTCATGTAGCCCTTTCATACTAAGCTCTACCATAGATATTTCATGATTTGCACACCAGACCTGACCTATATGGAATTTAAACCCTCGAACTTCGGGGATCCTGGCCAGAAAAACAATGATGTACACTTTAATCAGCCATCGGTCTAAACTAACAACATACTGTGATAACAGTACTCTTAAACACCATAGTACTTATCATGGCTTCTAGGTTAAAAAATTTACCAGGTACAGGTTTTAACTCTTTTCTGTTTAAGTTATAAGGTTTAAGTTCAGGTTTAAGTTATCTGAATAAACTGTTGTAGGTAAAGGTTTTAAGGAGCATGTTCTTATTAAACTGTAAGTAATAACGCTATCACAGATATATCAAAAATAAAATATTAAAGCATTAATGTTGTTGGTGATTCAGTTTTAACAGCATTATCAGTTTGACAGATACCTATGATGACCACATCAGCCTCTGCAGGGACTTGAGGTAATGAGCTTGTGTCAGTGGCGAGCCCCCGAGCGGACGATGTCCATCGCAAGTCTCGACTCGTCTGCTCCACCAGCTGGTCTCGGAAACTGAGAGGCTGGACTCTGCACTGCCACACACACTTGACGTGAGATTTAATTGAACTGAATAATGTTACTTTATAATCCATTCATCGTCTAGCTTGTACAAGACTGAGGCAATGTGCCAAATTAAACCGAGCAGCACCCTGCCTCTTACATACTACTTTGCCATGGTAGTATGTAAGGCTATTGTTTGCTCATGACCCTGATCTCAGGGACATCATCATCTTCACTCGAGATTATGGTGAATTAATTTAGTCAAATAAAAATTCAGCTTTTGTTCTAAAAACATTATTTTTGTACAAATTGCTAGTGGTTCATCCAGCACTGGTTTAAAGCTCATAAAGATAAGTGAGTATAACATTGCTGAGGAAATGTATTGTGGGTAACATTGCTAACAAAATAAAATAAAATAAATTATTAACTTTCGTTGTGGAAAAGTCAGTTATTTTTTTATACTTTTCCAAGATCACAATATTGTTTTAATGTTGGTTGTTTTTAGTACCACCTACTTCTCATGATTCATGAGGAAACTGTGGACGAAATTTAGAATGTTAAAAACAAAGTTTAATTAGTAGTTAACTTTTTAGTAAAACTTGTTCTCTCCATGTTTAACTTTTTTGTTCTACAATAATTAGACTATATTTTGTATGAATAAACAATGAACATGGTTGAACTACAAATCACAGTAAAACGGGTGACTTGCATTATTTGGAATGTGATTCAATAACCTGACAAGTTAGAAACCTGTCACTTTTTTCAATTCCAATATTTCAATTATTGGAGGGTTCATTGTAAGACTGTTTCACTTGAACATAAGAACAAATCAATAAAAAAATTTTAAATTAAAGAAACACGTGTATACTCAATGATAGGATTTAAAAGTCATTGAACTTCTTTTGGTAAATTATTTTTGTACCACTGTAAGCACGACTCAGCCAGAACAGACAAAACAGGTTCTGTGTTGAAGGTTGAGAGAGAAGCGAGCTGCATTCTATGCATCTCAAACTGTTAAACAGCTATCAAGGTTACTCTGGTTCATTTCATAATCAATGATAAACAGTACAATTATCTCGCTAGGAAATTAGTGATTATTGGTGCTGTGACATTAAAAAAACTGGAAAATATATTATGCTTGAGTCTTTAACAGTTTTTCATACAATAGATTTATTTTAGCAAAACACGAGAGAAAAAGTTCAAGAGATTCACAATGTTTAATTTCAAGTATTTTAAAAGTAAATTTCTTTGAAACAGACAATGCAACATTACCCAACCCAAGCTAGATAAACTTAATTCGGAATGATCACTTTCAATAAAATATATTTTCCTTCTAGTTAAAATTAGCTATAATAGCAATAAAAGTTCTGTAGCTATAAGAAATACATTTCCATTAAGGATTAATATGAGTTTAATCTAATAACAAGAGAAATAATTAATAACAACAGAGACATGTATCCCTTTTTCTTTTCATTTAACTGGTTTTACAAAATAGTATAGTTATTTAGGATGTGTGAAGTTCCAAAAATTTTTAAGGTCCCTGGGATATCAGTACCGGTAGTTTTAAAATAACTCTTTGATGTTTTTGTTTTTTTTTTGTCAGAAAATGCCTATGACCAATCATTGACTTTGGATACTGCAAGTATATTTCTCACCCATTGTAAAATCTGTAGCCTGTTCTGACTTGATTCAAATCAAGATAATATTTATTTAAACGTTTTTCTTCTAATCAAAAGGCAACAAAAAGAAAAAAAATAAGATGGGTTAGTTTCATCCATGGTTTGGTACAGTATTATTTGTTTGTTATTAAGTGAAATTGTATCCAAAATAGACTAAATGTGATCAAATATGTTGCATATAACAATATTAAACTTGATCCAATTGGATTTTTTCGAATGTTATTAGGTTTAGCCACAGAAATAGCGATAAACATTGGAAATAAAAGATGTGAATACCTGCTAGGTAAATTACTGTCACCATATTTTGAGCCTTGCGAAATCAGCTGATCATTGTTTACTACCCGAGTATTTGTTGTATGTGTGTATACATTTATTTACTTTTTCAGAATTTAATATGACAATCTTCAGTAGATGACAAACATTTAAGTCCAAATACAGCCTGAGAATGACTTGAAATAATAATGCAGCAGTGTAACATAGATAAAAATGAGAATAAACAAATATCTAAAATTAAATATTAATGACTGGTAAATTTACAAATTTCACAACATAAATGTTAAATTTACAGAATGTTTAATTGTTTTCTATTTAGATTATGTAATTTGCAACAAAATTTTGTAAGATCTATTATGAGGAATACATTTAGTCGACATCAGCTCACTCAAATACAGAAAAACAGGCTACAAATTCAACAATAAAATGAGAAGTCTAGTTGTACTATTCAGTTTCAAAACTTTTACACCGCAAAAACTCACAACCAAAAACATTTTTTGAAATTTACGAAACTTGAAAAAGCTAAATGTGAAACAAATATAAAATGAAATACCTGTCTTGTTATGAAGCGTAACATGATGGCACCCCTCAATCCTGGAACAGAATGCCTTGCATGAGTGGATGCACCACAGACGCAGCTATAGTTGACAATTTGGCTCTGAGCCTAGGCTGCTATGCCTACAGCCTCCACAGAATACATTAACAGTTCAAGGCTGAGATATACTAGACTGATCTTCAAATTTCATAAACATTGCCACACCCACAACCGGTTCCATCCTAAGTTAAAAATAGAAACTAGTTTGGTCTGGGTCATCGACATTGCTAATGGAGTAGGAAAAGATTCTTTAATTGTTTTTTGGTGTAATTAGTTGTATTTTCAATGAAAAAGTAAACAAATACTGTTTGTTAAATATTTTGGGTGGGAGGTAAAAACTTTGCAAGATTTTACTCCCTTGGTTGTTTTTTGGTTGGAATTAATATTCAATTATTTTTTAGTTAAAACTCTATCACATGGCTAGACAGACACTAACTCATTAGGTTTTGTGAGAACAAATTACTAATCTTGTTTTCTTTCTGGTTTCTTATAGATAGAAACTATTGTTTACAGTAACCTGTTCCTTTTACTGTTTTAAAAGTTTGTTCACTCTCATGTTCTAAAAGACACACTATTTCAAAATCTTCAAAATACAATGTATAATGTGCTTTTGTTTGATTAACAATGTGTAAGTTTGTATCCCGTGTTAAAAATGTTTCTATCAACGTCTGTAGCATTTTAACAATTTTTTTACAAGTCCAATCATGTAAGAAAACAAATTAAAATGTTTTTTGCCATGACTAATGTTTTTGGGCTAAAAATACTCCTAAAGGCTTACGTTTGAATTGTTATATTTATTTCAACGGAGCAGCACAGGTCCTCTACTTTTTGTAAATTGCCTCTTGTTAATAGGGTTCTTCTAATTGAACTTTTAATGGTGAGCTAGAAACTTTAAAAAAGTAATATTTCGTTTAGCTCATATAAAACTTGAATTTTTTTAAAGTGTCTTTGTATTTTTAACTCCTCCGAATAGTTAAACAGTTATCTATAAATTTCCAAGAATAAGTTACAAATAAAAAAAAACTTAGTTATAAAGTCATTAAAGTGTGGAAATAGCTGTCAAAGGTCAGTAATTTCTTTTCATAAATAACACTATCAAACCCTTCCCTTATCTCTTATCAAAAGGTCAAGTCCAAAGGTTACATTTGCAACATATAATTGACCTTTTTCATAAAGTTTCATGCAAGGTGTGAAAACAAATTAATCAATATAAATTATTGCTATCATAAAACAATTAGTCAAGATACAAATTAATTGTTGCAATTATTCGCTTGAGCACAATCAGAGATTTGTTTGATGAGCTTGTTTAGTTAATAATTAATTTGTCACAGTTAATTAATTAGGTACTTGTGGATTGCAAATTCAAAAATTAGCTAAAAGATAGTTACATCGTTAATTATCAGCTCGTGAGACAAATTGTTGGATAACTGAACGAAACAATTAAAATGTCATCTGTTAGTTAATTGATTTACAATAATTTCATTCATACATGCACTTAATTATTTTGTTATTTATTATTATGCTTTATTACTACTACCATTTATCATGTTTTTGTACTTTATTAGCTACAAATTATTTCTGTTCATAATCAATGTCCTTATTATTTGTTCATGGTTTTTTACTTACCAAGTTGAAGATACCGTTTTTACATATCCAGAATCTAATACATTTTTTTTAAATGTTTAGGTAAAAACAAGTACCTCAAGGGTTTAAAAAATAATTAATCCTTTTTGTCCTAAAATGAAGTTAAGTTCATGTTATTAGAATTTTTATGATGGATGAAACTCAATCATATATGTTATCTTTGACATTGATCAAGTGATAATATTCGCACAATGTACCCTATGCACAAACAAGTCTATATTTTGGGAACCAAAGGGGTTTTTAAAACAAGTTTTACCAAGGAAAAAGCTCTTTAAACTTGACAATCATGTTTTCAACAGCTTTTCTTACAGTACTTTGGTTTTGTGAGTGGAAGACATAACTTTATATTGTACACAAAATTAATTTATATACTAATTTCACTGTATTTCCCCATGAGATTTTTAATAGTTTGTCACTGAAACGTCAAAGGGAAAATCTTCTTTTTAATCCTTTAAAGGGGAAAACAAAAAATGTAATTTTTGGCAGAAAATAAATTTAAAATCTTGTAAAACTTAACCTATGATCTGTTTAATTAAACTGTTCAGTTAATTCATTGAAGTTTAACCAAATTGTTTAATAACCACAATTATATTTCGGCAAACCAAGTAATGTAGTGAATTAGAACAAGTAAAGCATTAGTATGACAAACAAATCAAATGAACAAATCTATTATTCACATCTATATGACACATATACTGTGATATATTATATAGGTCTATATATACATGATATTACGATATATACTAAAGATCCAATATCTCATCTACATTGATTTTAATCTGTTAACGTTAAAAATATATTAAGGCTTGGATCTGTAATATTAAATTTCAAAAACTATCCTTTAAAAAATATTTTTCAACATAATGTGTTTTAAATGATTATGAATATTTTTAGATTTAAGTAAATAATTTTATGAATTGATTTGTATGTATTCGAATATTACAACATTAAGTACAAGCATTAACGCCCCAAAAATGGGTAAATGGTACAAAATTTTTAGGAATGTAAACCAGAGTTATTCAAAAATTCAAACCACAATTATCTACAATAAAAGCCATAATTTTATCGTACAAAGATTCTAATTTAAACTTCAGTCTATGCACATTCTTAGAAAAAAATTACACACTTTTCTATGCAGTATGAAAGATAAACTAACGCTTGATGAATAAACTATTGAGCCAACTTACCCTATAAAAGCATATCCGGCAATGAATTGATGATGTGAACTATGGCATCTGGTTGTTGCTCCAGCCACCAGAGAGCTCTGCTTGTAGTTCAATGGTCAGTCTTATCAATTAACACGTCAACTGAGATATGACTCGCAAACATCCACCAAAACACCGACCGGTTTATCAGAAGACAGTTTTTAGATTTATTGACGTAGGAAAGTTTGTCAAAAGTATCAAGCTATCAAATGAAATATAAAGAATAGCTACAACTTGGCAGGAAAAGGGACAAAATAATACATTTAAACACTTATAAGTTAAGAACTAGTTTAAAAATCAGTTAGCTGCGAGGCACTTACAATATTCAAACAAATAAATTTAAACGTTCTCAACATACAGAAATAATAATATACGTATTAACAGTGTATTGACAAGCAGTTTATGTATTTGGATGTCTACAGCTCCTGCCTTTAAACATCAGAGAACTTTTGGAAACATACGATATAATTGGAATACTTAATGTGTTATGAGTAAATTATGCTACAGCAGCCTATTTTTTATATCTACCTATGTAACCAAAGGCGGTTCTAAGGGGGGAGGGGGGGGGTTGTGTCCTAAGTGGGTACACCGTTATGTAGAACTTATGACTATGGGCTCTAGAAGGTAAATAACTTTAGTAGCTACTAGTATAAACAATTAAAAAATATCACTCAAATACGAAATGGTTTTATAAAAACAACACTTCTGTGAACACTCTTTATATATGTCAACATGTTCTGTTGATGGACATATTAGTAGCAAGACAAGTCAAATAAGATATTGATAAACTTATTTACTGATCTGTCCAGTAAACTGCTTACAAACAACAAATTTGACTTGGAAAGACTTTACCCTATTGATGAAGTTTTGAAGATTATAAATAATTCACTGAGTGGGGTTGTGATAGTTAAAGGAAACATTTCCTTGTTCAGGACTGCAAATCAGCTTAAGAGGAAAACTATTAATTTTGTTATGAAGAAAGCAATTTCAAATATAGAGACAACTAAATAATATTTATAATTCAAATTTAAAAAGTAACAGTCACTTATATAAAATCCCCTCACCGCAGCAAACCTGCAGACTAGGCGAATTTCTATTTACCTGGCTGGATTTCTACTAAAATATTCCCTAAAAATTTTCAGATTCATTTCCTACTTAGGTTAAAATCTAAAAGTTAGACCATTGACTAAGCAATACACTCTAAGGGAGTATGTTTTATCTATGGTTAGACTATTGGTCAATGGCTCTGTTACCTTGTGTTGTGTAAAAAAAGATAATATGATACAAGCATGATCAATGATGCAGCGCAAGTATTTAGTTGGACCGCTCAAGTAATTTTTATGGGAAGAGTTCTTCTTTTTTCTTATTTTCTGATTTTGTTGCTCCCAGTGCTGTACTTCTGGTCAGACCATGTTTTCTTTCTGTACCTTAATCTTTCTTATTGTCCTTTTACTTTTCCCACTGCAAGAGTATATGGAGAAAGTATTGTTTTGGTTGGAATTTCTGAGTTTGGGTGTACTGTATCCATTTTGGGTCCAACTGAACAAAAAAATTGGTTTTCAAAATTATGTCTGTGTGTGTTTGTGTGTCTGTGGACGTTTAAAGAGCTACAAATCACATCTAGCAACTTTTAATTTTTTTTTAAATATTGATTTTTAATGTTGATTTTCCCATTAAACCCAATAAAATAACAGAAAAACTGAATTTTCAATAATGCAGATTACATACTGATTTGTAAATTAGTATGTTATAGGCCTTTTAACTCTTTACAAAATGGTACAACCTCCATTGCTGTAAAAATAACGGTCTAAAAGTTATTGCAACGAGTTAGGAACGTGAGCCCGACGTATCATTGACTTTATACTGCACTGCAAATAGACATACCGATTAAGTGAACCAGAAGTAAGCCTATCACTGACTTTGGGTACAGCAAATAGGCATCTTATTTATGTGACCAGTGACTTTGGATACTGCAAGTAGATTTCTCATTTATGATAAGCAGGTGTACCATTGATTTCTGCAAGTACATTTACGTGAACCAGACGTACTATTCACTTTAGAACCCGTAAATAGACATTCCATTTAAGTGAACCAGGCGTACCATTGACTTTGGATACAGCAAGTAGACTGAAAACTAGATGAAACAGTCTTTGGTTCCTGCAAGTAGACAATTAATTTATGTGAACCAGACTTATAACTGATTTTGAATACTGCAAATAGGCATTTCATTTATGTGAACCGAGTATACCATTGACATTGGATACTGCAAGTATGTATCTCATTTACGAGAAACAGATGTGGCATTGACTTTAGAAAATTATTGGATTAATGTGCTAGCTCCGCTCAATATTGCAAGCAGACAACTGCATTGTACACCTAGTTTTATCGACTCTCGCCTTTTATTTTAGGCCACTAAAATCTTAAACATATTGTGCAAATGTTTAGGTCCACCTCTGATCTCTCCCTTTACACTCTTTGAAAATTTTCCAGGCCCAAACACTCGATCCACATTTATCAAAAGGTAGATTTCAGTAGAAGCTGACGTGCTAGTAAATTGTATTAGAAAGGCTAGAATGTCTTGAACCTCAGAAGTATAGTACACAGTTTGTACTTGACGAAACGTAGTTTTTCATTCACATGGTTTTCGGCAAGTACGATGAAACTAATCATCATTATAAGGAGGTTATCAACTAGCATAAGGGTGGGAACTAGCTAGGGATGGAATGGATCAAGTAAATAATACGGACACGGTGCTCTTTAGGAATTCAACTAGTTCACCTTGCCGCAGCGGGAGCTTGACCGAGACCTAAATTCATATGCAGCCCATGTAAAAAGATAATATGATTTGATCAAAATTTGCTTTGACAACATTTTTTCATCATTAAAAAGTACTAGTTCCATTTCCCGAGTTTTAAGTATACCTGTTTGTTTCCTATGAAAAAAACCACAGTAAACATTTAATCAGGAAGTAAAATTTTAAGACCTCAACCAATAAAAACATTTAGGATATAAATAAAACAATTCATACTAAAATAATATGTAATTAACTTATATTTTATTTACATTTCATCATTTTTAGATAAATAATCCATTGTTTCCTAAGCGTTAACTGTACAAGTTAATTTAATAATAATAAGTAATAGATAACAAGATTATGTAAAAAATATAAATAATAAAACAAACATGATGATTACAAAAGGTTGGGAACAAAGCTACATCCTACAACTACAATTAAAACACGCTTAAAGTTAAAAAAATATTTGGTTTCTGAAAATCAATTCCATTCAATTGGCTGTTTTAGAAGAGACGGAAAAATGTCCAAGTACATAACATTTGTATTATGGTCCCATAAGCCTATAAAACCAAATCTATGAAACTATAATGGAAAAATATTAGCATGAAAATATTTTGTACCAACTTCAAGTACAAAGTTGATAAGACGTTTGTCTTTTATTTAGAGAGCTTAATACAATTGTAATTATCTTAAGAAGAATTAAACAAATTTTAAATAAGTTTGACGCTGGTAAAATTTTAATAATTTCACTGGTTTTACCTCCAAGAAGAGTGAATTGTGAATTATTTGAACCCTGTTGCAAAAAATTAGTCAATGCCGACAACTCATCAGAATGGCAAGAAATAAAATCTAACAACAACATAGACAATCATCGTTTATAATATAGTGAATAATGACTAATAAAATTATAATTTATGCATACCGGTCTGCTAATCCAAAGCAAAACACAATTGGATATTGTTTGGTTAAGGTTCGGATCACTAAGAGCAAGTTAAAACAAGTTACAGTAGAGTTCCGCAAACTCGTCGTAATGTGGACTGGAAGGGTGCCGAGTTTGTGAAATGCCGGGTTATCAGGAACTAGGGTTCAAAATAAAAACAATACAATTTTTAAGCCTTTTACCTGCCTTTTTTATATATATTTATACTACAAGTCAGTGTTAAGTCATCAGATATAGTACAACAAATCCTTGGTACGAGTTGTGAGTGATTTAACTTGAGCTGGCTTGAGTCCATGTTGAACTAGGACTCAAATAATCACTAATTTTCTGAGCCAGGTGATGGCCGAGTTATCCAGACTGCCGGGTTATCGAGTGCCGAGTTCGCGGGACTCTACTGTACTAGCCGGCTTTTTTATAGTTTGTAAACTAGCCCAGTGTTACTCATCGTACAGCTTTAACAAAAATAATAAAATAAATGAATAAATTAAACTGTGAAAAAGGTTGACTTTGTTGGCAAATTTACACACTACTTTGATCGTTAACTATCAAAGAGTACTCAAAGCTGCTTGTATATAATCGAGAAGTAGGATTGGTCTCGACGATTTTGAGTTGGTTAATAGCGGATGTTGTATGTTGTACTTGCCGACAAGCCTGTGTTTTTACTCACCAGCTAGTACCCTGTCTCACGCTCTGTAACTGACCCTTAAATATTTTAAATTCAGTAGATTCCTGTTCAAAAATTGATCCATTAACCTATCAAGAATTAACAATGTCCACTCCTTCATACTGTACAATTGATACCCTTCAAAATATATCTCTTTGGGTAACAAATTGATAAATATCTTAACTTACAAAAAACTTCACTGTCAAAAAAGACACCTTTGAAGCAAGCTTTTGTTGTAAATAAAATGGTTTTGAACCTCTGTAGATTTCATTGGTGCATTTGTTCCTTTGAGTAGTAGCTTTTTCATACAAACAATTCTTACAAATCTTGTGATTTTTGTTTAAATTTGATTATAACATAAATATTCCTTTTAACCACCCAAAATGTATAGGTTATGCTGACAAAAGTTAATTTCACAAGTTGAATTCAAAAACGTTAACATTTTAATTGTGTATCGGCTGATCTGTAAGGCGTAGCAGATTTTTATCCCCCTGGAATTTTACCCCCTGGGCAAACGTGACATCACAAACCAGGGGGTAAAATTCCGGCCGCGAACTTTTGAGTTTCGCGACATCAGCTTGATGGATTAAACGCGGAATTAAACATATATTTTCACGGTTTTGAATTTAATCAGAACACATCAAATTATAAAAACCTAGAATGTACGGCCCGGATTTTTACCCCCGGAATTTTACCCCCCGCATTTTTACCCCCGGAATTTTACCCCCTGGTCAGATATATAAATTAGTGAGAATGATTAATTATCTTCATTCAGTTTTAATTTAATAGTAAACATTTTATTATTAAGTAGCCTATCTTAATTTATTTGTAACATTAACTAATCGAACAGCTTTTTAATTTTAATTTTGAGATTCGAGTATCAGGATTCGATCTTTGAAGCCAACTGTTGGTTAATATGATCAAAATAAAACAGCGAATTCTGTTTACTTAGTTGAGATTACAAAATAAATAAAGATAGGCTACTAAATAATGAAATGTTTCCAATTAATTAAAAACAAAAATAAGAAAATCAATCATTCAATTTATAAAATCGGCCAGGGGTAAAATTCCGCTGGGTAAAAATCCGGGGGTAAAATTCCGGGGGTAAAATTCCGGGGGTAAAAATCCGGGGGTGAAAATCCGGCCCGCACATCTTCAGTTGTCTAAACGCTAGTTATATGGACAGGGGGTAAAATTCCGGTTTTCATCGCTAATCTAATTAATCACGTTCTGACTATTTTCATTAGACCTCCAAATCCGCGGGGGTAAAATTCCGGCCGCGAACAAACTTTTGGCCGCTCAGGTTACTACGTCATAGTGACGTCAGCTTTGCCCAGGGGGTAAAATTCCATGGGGATAAAATTCCGGCGACCCATCTGTAAAATGTGTTGCTAACTTACAATACGGTCCACGAGAGTCTGCAGTTGAGGGAGGATCCTATTTACCACGTGACTTCGAATGAGCCAATGAGGACAGTGTGGTGTTACCAAATCTAATAATACCAGCTGATTTGAAAATATTGTTTAGTATATTTTAATTACTGTCGAGAATTAGTGAACGGGTGATGTTGCAACGTCGCGCTAGTCCAGTCTTGCTATTGGCTGCCGCCAACTGCAGACTCTCGTAGTCCCTAGTATAGTTTAACGTATAACACATGGAATACCGTTACAATCTTAATTTGTGTGTTTTTTGTGTGGCAAAGTAAAACGAGCGTGGGAGCTATTCTGCAAGTGGTTAAAATCGCTTTCACTTAGTAGCTGTAGCAAATCAAATTTTCATATCAGTAAAACCATGCTTCAAAGGGTCCAAAGAAGAAATCTTTAGTGTTTATTGTAAAGTAAATTGATACATCTTAACTGTACAGCATTGAAAAAGATATTTACAAGAATGGAGAGGTGGGAAGGAATTACGAGTGTACAGGAGAGGTGAGACGGTTTAGAGTTGTTACATTCCTGGCTATCCTCATCAGCTGTTCTCTACGTCCTTCTTCAGCTTGTCTCTCCAGCTGTTCCTTCAACACTAGAAGTTCTCTGGTTCTCTGGTAGACGGGGTCCTGCATACAAGATCAGGACTATTAAGTGTCATACACCTTAGTTGTATAGTACCTTAGACTATTGATAATACTAGACATTCCATCCCCATGTTAAAATTGTCGGTAGTTTATGGAATAATAATGAAGACATAGTTGAATTGTACCACTGACAGATTGCGCTGATCAAAATTACTTATGTGTGTGTGCGAGTCTTTCCATAGTATATGTGTGTACATGAGAGCGTCATACTTTCTGTTGTCGTTTGCAATGGCACTAATTTTATACGTTGCTGTAGCTGTATTTGGCTTCAGTAACCAAATTTGGTTTTAAAATATCTTACGTATTAGCTTTGCTTTGCAGGGATCTAATTTCAGAGTATTTTTTAGTCTACATATTCATGTAATATTTTTATTTAAGAAATAAATTGGTATTATTGTATTCAAACCCATTCTGTCAACTTACACCCAATCTGTCCACCAATTATTTTAAATACACTTCTCCTACCAAGGTCTGCCACAGACAAGGTTAACTCCTGTGAACTGAACACTAGACCTGACCAAGTTGAGATTCAAAACCTCAATCTAGGCTTACTATGTTGTCTCCTGGTGGAAGAGGCGTTGTAAACCACTAGTAGTTTGGACTTTCATAACCTTCCTTAACTCACAACATAACAACAGACAAACAATGGACAAGTAAAAAAAAAAAACATAAAACATACCTGAGGACGCATGCTAGGGTTCCAGCGGCAGTAGAGACGACGCCACAACCGGATGTGCCTCATGCTGGCAATAGGCTGAAGCACTTGTTGTTGTGCGTAGTAGAGAGGGTTCTGATACAGGTCCAGACTGCTGTTCATGTAGGACCACAGAGACACTGTCCTCTCCTTCACTTTCTCTGCCATTCTCTCTCTGTCACTGAAACACAATGATTGACCCATGATTTTGAAGAAAGTAAGGTTGGTGCATGATGTAATAATTGTTACTATTACTGATACCATTTAATTCAACCTATGATTTTTAATTTCTTTATTAATTGGTTTTAATAGGTTATGTTGATTTATATTTTTAATCGTACAGTATATGTATATTTACAGGGTATGCCATATTTAACTAAGATTAAAGTCATAAAAGAATAATCCCTGTCCTACTGCTCTGCTGACGTAAAAAAAAATCAAAACAGGAGTTGTGTGCAATCCCCATTTAACTCACTAATGCCGTCAACTTCCATCTAAGCCAGACACCATTTCTTTAAGGCGGGCCTACCCACTCGCGAAGCCACACATTAATAAGCTTAATATCGATTGTACATCTATAAAATTCCATCCCGCGCATGTAGAAAGACTTCAACACTACACTTATCAGTGGAACACCTTAGCCAACTGAGCTACCACGCCACAGTCGGCCGAACAATTTGATTGCCACCATAAGCTTACGATGTCACAAGCCCTTGTAGGATGGATTTGACATACTACTAGAGGACCAGTAGATTAATAGTACGACTATATCGCGGAAAAATGCATGATGGGCTATGCACGTAATTGGTTGTCAATGGGTTGATGACAATGCCGGGGAACGTTAAAATCGTTGCTAGCCTTTAGCTTAGAATGTGAGCTTTATTTTGGTGTAGGTTGGTACTAAAATTTCCCGTAAAATCCCGTTTGACAATGCTTTTATCCTGGTTTTGGGGATTTTCTCTCTTCAAGCCTCATTACAAAGCCACTGACTACTGATCCAGGCAGTGCTGCTACCTTTGGGTGTTTTAGGGAACTAAGTCCAATCTCGGGGTAACGTAGAACAATCACCACTGTTCTTTTGTTATTCGTCAGATTGAAATATTTGAATGCCAATTGCTTTCGCTGTTACGGTGCCGTGTCGGGGCTTCGCCCGGGCCTCGCCGCCATTGGCGAGTGCCTGTTGGAATGCCTGCCACACTGAACGTGAACATTATGCCAACTGACTCACCTATTGAACAAAAATGTGCCAAATCTACAAGAGTACAGGTGGTCTAGGATGGTGATAAGGAAGTTCTCGTTGAACTCGAAGGCGTTGGGGTAAAGACAGGTGACTTGCCACACGCAGTCGATGAACTGCAGGAATACCGGAGAGCGATCTGCGTCTGAGTGTTTGTCATCTCCGTGTCCGATCCTCTAGAATAACAGTTGTCTGTAGTAACAATTGCTTAAATCTACATAAGCCAATTCCCTAGGTTGAATATTATTTTACTCATCACTATTTGGAATTTAAATGTTCTAGTACTACTGATTCTTTAGAACCAAGATTTAGCAACGGTTTTTAGGAATCAAGTTTAGTTTTTTTATGTGGTATCTTACAGTGTAGTGCTTACTGGAGTACTGGATTCTTAATCAACGCTTTATGCATTTGAGTGAAAAATAAAGCAAAACAATAAGCTTATATTGACTGCTGAGTGCTGACCAACCTATAAAAACTATATTCTGTCCAAGGACTCAAGTACCCCGACGTGATTCTCTTAGGTGAGTTAGTTGTAGTGTATCCATTACTTCCTCAATTTATTCCTAAGCCAAGTGCTTTTTTTCTCCAAAAAACTAAATTGAAAAAATTGCGATTTCAATTTTGCAGACTAAAATCTAGTAAGTTATTAAAACAACAGTGGCGGCAGATGGACTTGGCTGCGTGTGTGAGGTTAACGTAACCCTCTGGGTCCCTTGAGTCCTTGGACACAAAATACTACAAATACCACAAAACAAAACAAAATTGGGGTTTATAATAACAGATGCCACAATTAAAGCACAACATCATGGCAGTTAAAACTACTTGTTGTTAACAAACATACCTGCTGGAACTTATGGCCAAAGCTTAACCATTCTTTTTCAATGAGAACTTCAAATCCTTTGATCGTGCGGTAGTATGGATCCAGCAACAACATGGCTAATGCAGTTAGCTGGAAACAATAAAATGTTAAAAACAAAATATCGTAGATCTTCTGAAATATCAAAGAGTATTATCTTGACCACACAGGAATGAGAATGTGACTCATAAAATATAGCTAACATAGATTAAAATTAAACTTACTTTACCTATTTTTTCTGTTCTAAAATCATCTTTAGAATACATTAAGGAGTATTAAAGAGCCATCTCTAAAACGCGATTTACAAGTTTTGGGTATTTTTTTATGAAAAGATTAAGTTACTATCTTAGGACATGACATAATAGTCTTCTAATGAATGTCATACGGGCACTCCCAACAACGCGGAACACACTTAATCTCGCTGCCCAAGTTGGGACAGGACCCTTTCTGGAGGCTCAACACCATGCAGGACTGCTTTTAGTGGATACTGTTCATACTGATGATGACGGAGGGTGAGGAAGATATTATATTTGTTTGTTCAGGGTATTCTCTGGGCCAAGAAGCAGATCAGGATGGTGTCTTAGTCATAAAAGAGCTGATTGACAGACACGGTGCAAACTATGAGGACTTAACCCTATAAAGGTATAGTCATACAGCATGAGGCTAAGGGTATCAATACGTAAATTTCACGTACATAAGAATTGCATAGTAAAGTATCGTCATACAGTGTGACGCTAAGGGTATCGATACCCTTAGCGTCCCTTGCTCCTTTGGGGAGCGAGCTGGTCTAGTGGTTAGAGCGTGGGACTCCGGTTCCTGGGGTCCCGGGTTCAAACCCCGCCAAATCACAAATGGATTTTATCTAAGTGATATTGCCGTAACCCCTAGGTCTAGCCTAAAGTAATGTGAAAAACAATTCCGGGCTCGTGCCTAGTGTCATAGGACAGAAAAAAAGGTATCGATACATAAATTTGATGTACTGCCGGCTGTTTTACTGTACACAAACCGGCCATTTTACTATACACATAGGGTATTGACACGTAAGTTTGACGTATGCGTTCCAAGAAACCAACTAGCAAGGACATAAAGAAACACACTACGACCCAACCAAGGCAGCCATCACTAGGCAAATGATAGCTGAGAGCACTGCTGGAAGGAGGGTAGCGTTGGTTGAGGGGGTGCGGGGTGGGACTCTAAGAATAACTCGCCCTACGTCAAATTTACGTGCGATACCTATCTAGGGTTAAACAGGAAACCAACTAGTTCGACGCTCTCCGATCCCAAATATTCCGACAAAATTACTTTGTATGGCTTTAAATTGACTGTAACCCACTAGTCCAACCCTCTCCGATCCAACACATTCCGACGACATTGCTCTCTGGGGCATTGTTGTCAGACTTCAGATCCGATTTTCCTCCAGTCTGCATGCACCAGGCCTAGATTAGTCACTGTCTAGCTTTGAGTGTGACATGTAGACAAACTTATTGAACGATTGAAGCGGTTTGAGAGTATCCCTTTCACAGTATGCAGTAAGGGATAAAAGCAGACTGAAAATATTATGATGCTTTTAGTGATGCAAGTTCTATGGATTCAAGTGGTGATTGGTTCTTAAATTGTGGATGAACTATATAGAAAAAAGAAGATGCAAATAAAGAACTATCGGATGAAAAAATAATGACTTTTACAACTCCAGCAGCCAAAATTAACAAAAAAAAGCCTGAAACATCTTAATTCTCGTTGGTTACTAACGGAGCCTGTCGGACCAATGGGTTTATTAAAGTGCTGAAGGCGTTGGAAGGTGTCTGAGACTTGTCGGATGGGAGAGCGTCGGACTAGTGGGTTTCCTGCTTTAGGTCATATGTTAACCAAGGTAATGTGACAATGACAAACAATCCCCGATTTTTGTCCTACAGAGTAAAGATTTTTTAAGTTAGTAGTCTGATCAGTGCAGGAGTCTCACACTACAGTTCTGTGTGTGTAAAACCATTTCCCCTTCTATTCCTTGAAAAAAAAACATAAATTTTAAAAGAGTTGGCCAACCTGTAAGTATATATTGTTGAACAAACTCTTGTTCTGAGTGTTATATAAACATGTGTTTACGGATGCGAGACATTTTTTATTGTCCGCTGACAACAGTGTTTACTTAATATCTTCCTGGTTCTTCGATGTTTCAAATCATCTTTGACAATCTCGAGTACCTTTATATATTTTAATATCACATGACTGTACCTGTGCTGTACGGTCCCAGCCGTCTGAACAGTGTACCAGCACAGAAGTCTTGTTGTTTTCCACTTTGTCCACAATGCGACAAGCACCAGCCAAGATGCACTTGATGTGCTTGAGCCAGTATGTCGACTCCACTCCAGACAGCCATCGGGACTCATCAATGTTGGGATAGCACAACTCTGTCAACAGCACAGACAAGTTTCTTTACTTGTAACAAAATTTGACTTTAAAATTGAATCCTGATGTCTTCATCCTGACATTTTGTAAACTTTTGTTCTACAAGGCACAACCTTTTGTTCTTTGGTGGCTTTGCTCCACCAAGATCTATTAAGGTAGAATAATGAAAATAAATTTATGCAGGTAGTTGAGAAAATATCTTACCTTTCAGCTTGCGTAAAGACTCGCGCATGACGTGGATGTTGTGGATATCTAGAAACACAAGTTCTGCGTTCTGATAAGCATCTTCAGACTCATAACCTCCTCCTTTGGCTTTGTTTGCGATTGCGTTTGCACTGAAATGCATAAGCAAGGTATAATGTTAAGATCATGCAAACCTAAACAAATATGGAATTTGGAAGGATGGGAGGCTTCTGAGTGGTAATGGGAGACAACACAATGACACAATGTTGTTTCTGAGTGGTCCACTCTGACACAAGGATAAAACCTTTATATATCCTTAATCCTTTGATAAACTACATTATGGATTCATAATGAAATACCACAATATCGTAAACATTTCTTGAATTAATTGCAACATTTTAGATAAGAAGAGTGTATGTGTCGAAGTAAAATTTTAATTTCACTGAATGAAAAGATTCAAGTTCAGTACTTCACTGCAAGTTCAGAATTTGTTGGTTGGAGATTGGGTTTGAGAATTGAACCTCAAATCTCATATCTAGCCACACCAACCACTTGCCTGTGCTACTACAACCCAAGTCTTTGTTCAGGGCAGTTAATGTAAAACAGCGAAGAATGTTTGGGTTCCAACAATTTTAGAAGTTTTATTTCAGTGGGTTGTGAATAATTTTGAGAAATTTGTTTCCAGTTGGGAATCTCGTAATATTATTTTTCGATCGTAGGAGATGATCACGATGTTGTCCATACTGCTAAAAATGATCATGATATTGTATTTGTATCAGAAATACTTTTGCTATCAGAAATTGCTCAACAAAGGTTTAAACTGATATGAAATCCAGTTTATTGATTCCTATTGATAACTCTGTGTTTCTAAGCCTAGAGGTCAGGGACATTTCCAAATAAAGTGTGAGAAAATTATCAAATAATTTTACACTCACCTTGGTCTTGCATCCATGATGAAAAGTTTGTGAGATTGGGCATTGGCGTCCATGATTAGCTGTATGTACCGTTCATCCTCTCGACTACGTTTGCCACTAACTCCCACCAGTGGTTGAGAGCAGCGACACAGGGTCGCTTGACTCTCTGGGTGTATCCAGGACAACACTGGTACTCGGCCTCTGCTGCGGAACATGGCCACCTGCAACAGACACGTTGTAACTTGTAATTCACTGTTTGAAAAAATTAAAATTAAACAAAATAACCACACCGCACAAAATGTGTTAATAAACTACTTTCCACTTATCTAATGGGATTTCACGTACAATATTTCAAAAAGTTATATTAATTCCCATATGCCTAGTTTTGATGAAAGTGGAAAAGGTTCTACAAAAAGTTCAAACGGCTGGCGGATACATAAACCCCAGTCCCTTTCCAGTTTTTATCAGGCTACAGATGTCACATAATATTTCAAGCAACGCCCACATCTTTTGAAATACCTCACCACCTAATCTCGTCTCTACACGCACTTGCCCTACATACCTGTCGTAAGTCCTCGTCAGTAGCCTGTGCCGGAACTACCCACACAGTCGGGTAACTGTCACACACCTCGTACGCCTCATTGATACGCGAGATCTTCCACATCTCATTGGGCACTCCCTGTAACAATTGAACAGTTCACTAATGTAGCACACGTTAAAAGGGTCAAATCAGAAAAAAGTGTACTTGATGATTTGTTTAATGAAATAACTAAATCCAAGCACGATGTTATAAACAACCTTAATAGATGAGTGAACGAAGTGAACGAATCTATGTATCGTGTATAGCGGAGTCGGAGAAAAGTTGTCCGCTGGAGTATGTGTGTGTGTGTGTGTGTGTGTTCGCACCTAAAACTCAAGAACCGTTGCACTTATAGCGTTCAAATTTTGCACAAATAGTTATGACACCAGTGCAAAGACACCATTAAAATTCTAGACGATTCCGCTCAGTAGTAATTATAAAATACTTAAAAAACATTTTTAAATTTGTCCCATAAGAATAACATTAGGAACTACCTTCTTCTTCTTTTTATTTGTTTACGTTTTGCGACCAACAATTTTGTTGTCTACTTAAGAAAGAGAGAACGACTTTTACTCTAAGCTCTTTCATTCATGGAGTAAACAGTTTGGCGTCTATGAATATATATCATCATAATTTCACAGCTTTCAGAATAATGTTATTTAAGCTAATTAAATTTCACAGCTTTCATAATAATAAATTGAACTTAACAATATTAGTAGGCAGTTATATACCGTTTATGTTCAGTATTAAAATTTCGCCTTTTAATTAAAAGTATATAGGTATGTATGTATTTAGAACAAAGCAGCTTTTTACATTATTCAATTTAATGTTTGCATTGAATATTAAATATTCAAAAATGTTGGTATATTTTTATACTAAAATGCTATGCGAAGGGGGGGGGGACAGGTCCCCGACGTAGAGAGTAGTAAAGAAAGCGGAAAGGTGAGCAGTGAAAAGAAAGGAGTACGGAAACCCTTTTTGACTGTTAAATTAACGTATCTGTAATACTTAAATGCTATGGAAAGATAGGGAAACAGGTCTACGATGTAGGAAGTAGTGAAAGAAATAGTGAAGGAAGTAGTCAAGGCGAGCGCTGCGGAGTGTGGGGGGCCTTTATGACAGTTAGAATAATGTATCTGCAATTCTAAAAATGCTATGGGAAGGGAGAGAAACAGGTCCACGATGTAGGAAGTGGTGAAGGAAGTAGTCAAAGTGAGCAGTCCGGAGTGTGGGAAGCCTTTGTGATAATTAGAATAATGTATCTGCAATTCTAAAAATGCTATGGGAAGGGAGAGAAACAGGTCCACGATGTAGGAAGCCTTTGTGATAATTAGAATAATGTATCTGCAATTCTAAAAATGCTATGGGAAGGGAGGGAAACAGGTTCACGACACTTAGGAAGTGGTGAAGGAAGTAGTCAAGGCGAGCATTCCGGAGTGTGGGAACCCTTTGTGGCAGTTAGATTGATGTATCTGCCATAATAAAATGCTATAGGAAGGGAGGGAAACAGGTCCACGACGTCGGAAGCGGTGATGGAAGAAGTCAAGGCGAGCAGTCCGGAGTGTAGAAACCCTTTGTGACAGTTAGATTAATATACCTGCAATACTAAAATGCTATAGGAAGGGAGGGAAAGAGGTCCACGACGTAGGAAGTGGTAATGGAAGTAGTCGAGACGAGCATTCTGGAGTGTAGAAACCCTTTGTGGCAGTTAGATTAGTGTAACTGCAATTCTAAAATGCTATGGGAAGGGAGGGAAACAGGTCCATGACGTAGGAAGCGGTGATGGAAGTAGTCAAGGCGAGCAGTCCGGAGTGTAGAAACCCTTTGTGACAGTTAGATTAATATACCTGCAATACTAAAATGTTATAGGAAGGGAGGGAAACAGGTCCACGACGTAGGAAGTGGTAATGGAAGTAGTCGAGGTGAGCATTCTGGAGTGTAGTAACCCTTTGTGACAGTTAGATTAGTGTAACTGCAATTCGAAAATGCTATGGGAAGGGAGGGAAACAGGTCCACGACGAATGAAGCGGTGATGGAAGTAGTCAAGGCGAGCATTCCGGAGTGTGGGAACCCTTTGTGGCAGTTAGATTAATGTATCTGCCATAATGAAATGCTATAGGAAGGGAGGGAAACAGGTCCACGACGTAGGAAGTGGTAAAGGAAGTAGTCAAGGTGAGCAGTCCGGAGTGTAGAAACCCTTTGTGGCAGTTAGATTAATATACCTGCAATACTAAAATGCTATAGGAAGGGAAGGAAACAGGTTCACGACGAAGGAAGCGGTGATGGAAGTAGTCAAGGCGAGCGGTCCGGAGTGTAGAAACCTTTTGTGACAGTTAGATTAATATACCTGCAATACTAAAATGCTATAGGAAGGGAGGGAAACAGGTCCACGACGTAGGAAGTGGTAATGGAAGTAGTCGAGGCGAGCATTCAGGAGTGTAGAAACCCTTTGTGACAGTTAGATTAGTGTAACTGCAATTCTAAAATGCTATGGGAAGGGAGGGGAAAAGGTTTACGACGTAGGAAGCCGTGATGGAAGTATTCAAGGCGAGCAGTCCGGAGTGTGGGAACTCTTTGTGACAGTTAGATTAATGTAACTGCAATATTAAAATAATATAGGAAAGGAGGGAAACAGGTCCACGACGTAGGAAGTGGTAATGGAAGTAGTCGAGGCGAGCATTCTGAAGTGTAGAAACCCTTTGTGACAGTTAGATTAGTGTAACTGCAATTCTAAAATGCTATAGGAAGGGAGGAAAACAGGTCCACGACGTAGGAAGTGGTAATGGAAGTAGTCGAGGCGAGCAGTCCGGAGTGTAGAAACCCTTTGTGACAGTTAGATTAATATACCTGCAATACTAAAATACTATAGGAAGGGAGGGAAACAGGTCCACGACGTAGGAAGTGGTAATGGAAGTAGTCGAGGTGAGCATTCTCTAGTGTAGAAACCCTTTGTGAAAGTTAGATTAGTGTAACTGCAATTCTAAAATGCTATCGGAAGGGAGGGAAACAGGTCCACGATGTAGGAAGTGGTAATGGAAGTAGTCGAGGCGAGCAGTCCGGAGTGTAGAAACCCTTTTGACAGTTAGATTAATATACCTGCAATACTAAAATGCTATAGGAAGGGAGGGAAACAGGTCTACGACGTAGGAAGTGGTGAAGGAAATAGTCGAGGCGAGCATTCCGGAGTGTAGAAACCCTTTGTGATAATTAGAATAATGTACAGTATCTACAATTCTAAAAATGCTATGGGAAGGGAGGGAAACAGGTCCACGACGTAGGAAGTGGTGAAGGGAGAAGTCGAGGTGAGGAGTCCGGAGTGTGGGAACCTTTTGTGACAGTTAGATTAATGTATCTGCAATAATAAAATGCTATGAGAAGAGAGGGAAACAGGTCCACGACGTAGGAAGTGGTAAAGAAAGTAGTCAAGGTGAACAGTCCAGAGTGTGGGAACTCTTTGTGACAGTTAGATTAACGTATCTGCAATAATAAAATGCTATGAGAAGAGAGGGAAACAGGAAATACATTACGTATATTACCAATGACTTTGGTTAATTAATGGACGTGAAGTTAGGATTGTTGTTGACTGAGATTTGGTTTTTTTTAAGAGGTTGGTCCAGCCTCTTTTAACCTCGCCCGTGCGTGGATCGTTTACAGCAAAGCAATTGGTGAGCCGGTACAGTACAAAGGTGAACTATACTGATAAAATTTAGTGGCAGTGACCAGGATCCGAACTCACGACATCGCTGCCTTGGGCCCGAAGTTCGCGTGACGCTACCGACTTGAGTCACCGACTCACCATTATTTGCCCCGACTCATGGGTTGATTTGCCCATACAAATAACATTATTGTGTACACCAGTGACACCGGTAAGTGTGCTAGGTGTGGGTGGACTCTTTCATTATTGCGCTCATGTTCACTCATCCTGTTACGCGCAGAATAAGCGTACTACCAGTACTTTTTGTATTAAAAAAAATTAACTCACCATTCTCTTCAGTTCCGCAATCGGTTCGTGGACGTTCCAACCATTCTCAGCGAAGGTTTCCGTGTATTCGAAGGCGAACAGAGGTAACTTGTGTGACAAAGGGAAAGCATACTGCTGCAGCTTCTCAAACACGTTACGTCGAGAATGGTTTTCCTAAAACACAATATAATTTTTTTATGTTTTTATGTAAAAAGAACTCATACGCTTGGAAGCCAACCCTCACAGTTGAGGGTTGAAGTTTTCAATTCCAAAACCATATTGGATTCAAAGTAATAATAGAAGAGATGTCAGTAAAACTGCACATTTAAGACACCATTCATCGCTCTGTTTGAATACAAATTCAACAGGTTCTGTAATAATCAGTTTTTTTTTTGCAACTTTAATCTTGCCCTACTGTGTGCGTATTTAGTTAACTTATGTGTCAAAAATAAATTTAAATATCAAAACCACAAGAAATTTGAAAGAGTTTTGGTATCAAGATTTTATTGGTGAGTTTTTTTTTATAAATAGAACCCAAAGTACTAATCTTTTTTTCTTATTTATTTATTATTATTTAATTTTTTAATTTTAACAGAAATTTCTTCCATGTATTTTTTTTATTTGAAGGTCACCACAAGTATCATGTGATCATTCACTAGAGGCTTGGATGTTGTTAAATGGTAGGGGATTTGTATGTTCGAACCATTTAATGTAACTCACCTGCTTATGTCCGAAGCGAAGGTTTCTCATATCTTTACAAAACAGTTCAATTCCGTAGGAGTTTTCTCCTCGGCTTGATTGACCACCGACTTTTTCAACTCTGCTAACCTGTAGACAAAATTGGCTTACAGTATAGTTCAATGAGCACTGAAGAAAAAATATTTTAAGGGTTAGAGTTTAGCTAGCTTACTTGAAAAAAATTAACGAGTCCAGCGCGGACTAATAAATACAGAATAGGAGATCACAACACAAAACACTTCCTCCGGATTACACCAGAGCAGGTATTTACAGAAATTTTTTATTGTTAAAACTCTTCAAAATGAGTAGTTACTCAAAGGAATTTAGTGTCTGAAATATTTAAATTGCCAATAAGTAACTCATTTTTAGCAGTCTAACAGTCCAAGATGCAAACAACAAATCTGACAGCCTTTACAACATTGCCTTTGCGTTTGACTAGGTTTTGGTCTACTAGAAATACCAATTGACGATTTATAAGAGTGTATAAATACATTGCCTTAGTCATGGTGCACAACGAATGGCCATTATTTCACCTTAATTTAAAATGGCAACATTTTGCACTAGTTTAAAAAAACTGATTTTTGAATTTTGCTCTTCATATTCTTATTAAAAAATGCTGAAGGCGTCAATGATACCGTAAGATTTTAAAATTTGAGGTTACCAGCAAATACTCTTTTTGGGCAGTAAACAAAAATTTTCCTAAAAACTAATTCCAAAAATTATTTTAAATACCCAGAGAGGTGTAAATGTTATGTTTATTTGATATAGCCTAGTTCATTCTAAGTAAGAATCCCCTGATATTCATTAACTCATGACCCTATAGAATGAGTAAAGATGATTTGAATTAAATTTTGTCACTCACAACTCCAAGAGGCACTTCAACGTAGTACGGGGGGTCACGGTCCACGCTGCGGAAATGTAGCTTGTAGTTGGTGACGGACAGAATACCTCGCGAAGGGCCACTGTAGGGGCAAAGGTATGTCACTTCTTTGGCAACACCTTGCACCTAGGAAACAACAACTGGGGCATTACATCAGTAGGCCTAGTGATAACATAATCAGGTTCACGACTGCAATAAGATTGGTCGATAAATCGGAATTACCGATGTACCGATGTTCAATGGCTGTTAAATCAAGATAGCAAGGAATCCTTAGTAATTGATATTTCCTGACTTTGGGTTTATTTTATTTGAATTACCTTGTTCAATGATTCTTTAAATTCATTTTATTAGTATACAGTAGCTTTAATAATTATAAAAATAAACATTATCAGTAATCTGACTCATACTTTCTCCCATTAGCTGGGCAACAACCTTTATCACGGGTGATATTTATATCGAAATTATGATATTTTACAGGGAAAATCACAAAAGTTGCAATAACTTTTTAACCACAATTTTTATTTTTTTTTTTTTTTTACTCCATGGTTTAGTCTCATTGGTGGTTGTCATTGCGAACGGTGCTATTATATAGTGTTCCATTGTGTGAGCTGTTCACACTACACCTTTTATAGACTATAGGGTTTTGTGATTGGTTATTATTTGCATGTTGTATCATGACTTGACTGCTATACAGTGCATATTTTATTATTTTTTGACTGCTACGCTCTGTAGTGTATTCAAACTTAGGTTGGGCGTTTGTGTATTGTTAGTTGTAATGTGTTAGTTAGGTTTTTTCACCTGAGGACGGGATCAGATTCCAGATCCCGAAACGTTGTGTATTGTTTTTTACCATTGTGATGGAAAATGTCCGCAATAAACCTTTGAACAACAAAGTAATTTTCCTAGAAATTAGTGACCGCAATTAAAGCTGCAAATTTCTTAATACAGTTTGTGTACAACTAGGTCAGAAAAATAAAATAATACAGTAGGCCTACTGTAAGAACTTCCTATACTGACATTAGTAGCTAAATAAGTATTATTTATTTACTAAATGGGGTAATTATGATAATATTGTTATACATTCCAATAAGTATATAGTATAAGTATATAGTTAGTAAATTCTGTACAATAACTTCAGAGAAGGTTTAAATGCCTAAATAAGCGAGAACAATGCAAGTGAAACCGCATTGTATGTTAAAGTTAAAATATTGGCATTTTAATTTGCATATGCACAGAAGCTAAACAGATAGGTTAGGTACCTTTTCTCCAGGAAGAAGCGGCAAATCATCTGGTCGTGAAGGAGTCGTTGCTTCTCCCACACTAGACTGGAACACACGTATTGTCTGATGTTATTTTAAAATTATGTTTTAATATTTAGGCCTGCTTTATGTTTAAAATCGAAACAAATTTAAAAAATAAATCAAATAAGTCTATTTTGGTTTTGGTTATTGTATGAAAAATAATCAAGGGTAAATACAGTAGTATTCAGCTACAGTAGCATTTATACAGCGTATGTAATTTATTTCTTGGTACTAAACTAAATCGTTCTTTAAGAAAAAAGTAAAATTAATTTCAGCATAAGCATACTCTCTAAAATACTCATGATGGATCGGCTGAAGACAGATAAGTCTGATTCAAGCGTATATTGTTTACTATACAAATTATTGTAATACAAATAACAACATTATTAAAAATTACTATTCGACTCAATCCGGACTTTCAGGTGACTCGGAAACCTGATTAGTTTGAATTAAAGAGGGTTTACTGAAATTAGAAAAAACAGACTTAGAAACTGATTACTGGTAATTAAAAAGTAGATATAACATAAATCCTACACTTACCACTTAAAGTTGATGAGGGACCATGACTTTTGCTGACTACGTTACGTATAATGTTGTCATGCATTGAAATGTACTTCAAAACAATATTTTAGGCAAAAAATATATTCTTCAAAATCTACAAATTAATTTGTCATGTTCAAAATTAATGATGAAATGGGTACATAAAGCTTGGAAAATCGTAATATTTCATACTTTCGACAATCTATATGTTTACCAGGGTAGGGTGTTAAGGTTAAGGTCTATGGATGAGTGTGCATAATCGTAATATTTTTATTTTTACCACATAAACTTTTTCTTTTTTATTAATGGATCTATTGATAATATAGCAGCTACAGATTGGTTGTAATAATAATTTCATCACTAGAAGAAATTCTGTTTTCATTGATGTATCCAAATTGGAATGTTCACTTAGCTAAGAATATACACAGTCATTGGTTGTTTCATATCAATATAGTAAATATAAACATAACCCATCGTTGAAAAGTTCTCAAGTGTTTTTTTTCCAAATAGTGTGAGTGAGCGTTATGCAATGAGGAAACATTATTTCTCATCCTTTGTCTAACCTAAGGTCCAGTGGCTTTTGCAATATGGAAAAACAGACACCTCTTTTTAAAATACCGGTAATGTTTATATATTAAAAGTATTACAATACAGGACAAGTGCCTGCCAGCATAACTGGTTAAGTGTGCATAAACACATGCATTCATTAACCTTGAGGCTTTCATTTAAGGATGTGTTGGTGCTGTAGAAGCGAATCTTGAAATTAGTTTATTTAAAGTAACTGGAACCTTTTTTTTTAATCTGATATTGTTAAGTGCTTGGTGATTGATGTGAGGCCATGTGAATTTCAATTAAAAACTAATATGAAAACATGCAATGAAAAAAAGTTACAAATGAAAAGTTATGTCTCAAAACTAGTGTAAATAACTACACGGTGATATAACTGCAATAAAAAATGTGAAAGTTAAACTGTAAGCTTTAAAACGTTCAAATGTTAATTAATTTGATATTAGTGTAGGCTGGACAAGCATAGTACATTGACAGGTTATAGCCCACCACCAACTTACTTTTAGATTCAACTTAGCCTCAAGAGCTGACACGATATTGCCAGACGACGCCGAGCTTGACGAACCATAGCTTTTGGAGGGAGAAGCTTTCGAACTTACCTGAAGCAGGAGAATGTGATGGATTCACTGTGTTGCCTACATTATAACTAACATTTTGTGTTAAGATCCTACTTTTGTCTTTTATTAGCAAGAAAAAGTGAGTTATTGAAAGAAAGGCAAAGATTTATTTCCCTTGTCGTGTATTTCAACAATAAATTTTGGTCAGACATTCAAGGGAAAAAAATGTATGGAATCTTACCTGCAGTAATCTTAATCTGAAGAAGATATTATGATCATATCCCTTGAAAAACAATCCCCATTGTGATTTCCTTACTAAGACAAAATGTGTAATAAGAGTACTAGCGGAAAAAATAGACCATAAGATATTGAGATACCGGTAGGGACAAAATAAAAAAATCTCTCGTTTCAGGGTCAGATGGACACCTTTGAAAAATTCTGTCGAAAATAATTAACATCACCAAAAGTTGAAGGCCAACCGCCTAAAATGAAACTAGTAGGATTATAGATTTAGAGTTTACATATACAGTAAGTAGATTTTAATAGTATTAGAAATCATAATATTTCAAGGGCTTAGCATAACCACACAACAAACCTGTTTTGAATACCTTCCCTCAAATTTTCATTGTTCTAGCTCGTACATGCCCCCCCCCCCCCCCCCCCAATATGAGATCCCATGTTAACTTCATTTTTCAGCTTGTGTAGTAAAAACATAAAAGTTAACACTAAAAAAGCAAATTTATGTACCATAGCCCCAGATTGTACGGTGCCCCCCCCCCCCCCACCACCCACAACCGCCAAGAAAAGATAGATCCCTATGTTTAGTTACATTTGAATGTGACATATAACTGTTTCAAACTAACTTAAGATAGATACATAGGCTACTTAAGATTTAGATGATTTATTTATTTTTCCAATAGTAAGGCTTATAATAATGTGTCCTAGTGTCCTAGCCTAAACAACTTCTGTAAGTACATTAGCCACTTAAGGCTACTTTAAATAAAGTTACAGCCTACCTATATTCTACAGTGATTTGTTAAATCCTTAATTGGGCTGAAAATTCATGTACCCCAAAGCAGAACGTTTTCAACTTTTTTTTTTGAGTTTGGCGGCTTCTTTTAACCTTCCATTTGCCTATATCCACATAGACTACAGATCTGTGCATGGAACGTATCCAGCAAAGGAAGGGGTAAGCCGGTACAGTACGAAGGTGAACTGTACTGATAAAATGTTTAAGCGGCAGTGACCAGGATCCGAACCTACGACATCGCTGCCTTGGGCCCAAAGTCTGTGACGCTACCAACTGAGCCACCGACTCAACTTCTGCATTAAAATCTTAGGCTTGGAAAAATACCAAAGATTTTCTGCGGGCATACGTGGCCCAAAGTTCCGTGTAAATGAACCGGGTGTGTGATAGTTTTAATGAATATTTTGGAAATAAATACGTTTTTAAACACTCATATCGGTTTGAAAACATCTACTGCTATTACATTGAATCGTTTTTGGCGATTTGGTTATTCTATGCGTTCTTCCTCACGATGGATGCACCAAAGAAATCGCAGCTCTTGTTTATGCAATGCATGACATTTTGTAACGTTACTGTTTGCAGATCGGAGAATTTTTCCGTGGAAAATAAAGTTGCTGATTTATTACAGAATAACTCTCTGCAAGAAAACAATTTTATAAACTTGGTACCTATGTAGCATTTTCTAAATACTTATATAGGCCTAGGTTAAGTGTGAGAAAAAGGCATATGGCCCTAACATTGCCTGTAAAATTAATTTTAAAATGAAAAAAAAAAATTACAAAACAATTAGTTGGACAGAATGGGCTTTCGGCAGCCCTCCTCGTCTTTCTTGTTTTTTCTCCACTGTTGCCCGTAGTTCTGCCTTGGGGATTCACAAAAAACTCACTAATTTGGTATTCAAAACAAACGTAGACCGTTTAGAGGGGTTTATGGTTTCTTACCGAATCTTGTCCAAGCTTGGAGTTTAAAGAGCTGGATTTAGAGTCTGAGGCTAATGAATCAGAGCTGGCATTTTTCATATAGAGTGGTTCTAGATTTAGTAGCTCAGAACTTGACTTTCTGTCCATTTTTTTAACCAAATGAACTGGTTAGGGTAGCTGAAAAATACAGATTATGATTAGAAGTAGAACTAACTTTGTAACTTGTTTAGAAATAGATTTCTTAGGCCTAATTACTCGTAAACACTCAAGGCTCTAAACACTCTAACGAACAAGGGCTGGACATCTATCAGAGAACTGATCTGGATCACTAAGTGTTTAGACTTAATAAATGATTATCTGTAGTTCTTTTTATCAAACAATTTATTAGAATTGAAAAAAGGTATTATTTACACACCTTCGTTCCTTTAAACAACACATTTTGTTTATTTCATGGGGTGAAAACCAATCAAACCATAAACTGTACCCACCAAATATTTGTAGGCTACTGGGTCGAAACCAAGCTGTAAAGTGGTAAAATCTTAACTCAATAGCTCAACTTGTGAAACTGAGAGAAAGCTTAAGGAACCTTACAAAAGGGAGTGGGAATACTGGAACTGTGTTTCCACGCGACCACAACAAAGATCCTGCTCAACAGGTCGAGACAATCCTATTTTACTTGCTTTAACATAATGAAAAATCTGGCAAGTGTATCATTCCGCATGAATGTTCCACATCCATCAAGAGACATTTTTTAAACTTAGGTAGGCCTATAAGTAGCCTATTATTTAACATTTCCATAAACGTTAGATATTATTGCAAACAAATAACTTAATCAATTGCGGTTAGTATTTAACTGGAAAGAAAAACAGGATGGGCAGCCCAAAATCCCGTTTTAATACAAAGCATAACTTAACATTTTCTTACTCGGTAAGTTAGTCTCAATAACTTGCGTATGAAATTACCGTACTGATACTGATTTAATTTACGGTAAGTTAACTTAAAGCTGACTCTACCAAGAGCAGGAGGAAACATTGACCAAGTGAGAATAGAAAAGGCCTAACTTAAGGGTACAGTTTCTTAACTGGGCTATGCTAATATCGATTGAAACTATAGATTCGATTAGTAAACCTTCATGCGATTTTTTCACTATCAGCAAGTTTGGTTGGTTAGGTTAGGTTATGATAGTTTAATTTTATAATAGATATATTTAAAAATATCGATTATTAATCAGTATTTTCAATTTGATAGTTTCAATCGATATTAGCATAGCCCAGTTAAGAAACTGTACCCTAACTTAATCTAATCTAAATGCATTGGGAGTAATCAGATAACTTAATTTATTGCTTACTTAGCTGTCACTACAAAAGTGCCTATCAACATAGACTAGGCCTAAGTTATTTAGATTTGTCAAATATTATTTTTGTTCCAGTAGGCCTATGAAGTAAGTTAGGATTAACTTACTATCTTATCGGACTGTTTTCTATACAATCCACTTAGGCTAGCAGTAGATTTTCATTTTACAAACGTTGATTGCCCCAGTGAGCCTAACTAAATTAAGACCCATAGGCCTACCTAAAATTATATATGTATTATGTTTGTGTTATTATTGTATTAGGCTATACATATAATAATCATACTTTGACACTAGGAAAGCTAAAAATGAAAGTATGTAGGTTAGAAAACTAACTTCATACATAAAGGTTAGTAGTGAATTAATTCTACCATTAAAACGCTTAACAATATAAAATGTAGTTAGTTTTATTTACCGTACTAACAAAACAATGTTTAACTTTATATGCACAATTAAAATATTTCCAATTTTATCAATAAACTAGCAGAATCATTACATCCTGTAGTAGGTGAGAGGAGCAGATGAGATAGTGAAGTGAAGAAAAGAAAACAACTGACAGCTTGTTTGACAGAAAAGGCAGGCACCAAGACGAAGGAATACTACCACTAAGTAATTGTGGGTTGTTGTTTATGTTTGTATATTAACTTATATGCATATTATTGTCAAAATATTAATTTTTTTAACATGATAAGTGAATCACTCTAATGTAGGCTATTATTTTTTATTTAACACGCTATGGGAATGGATTGAACGCACTAGTATAAAGATTTATCCTACCAAAGATTACATCCTACTCAGTACTCATAGTTAAGATAATAATACTTTAGGCGTGGAAGACTTTTTGTTGTTTCCCATATGTGCTTCTTATTGTAAGGCCGACTTCAAAGCGATTTTAATCCTATAAAAGTAAGCTGTTTGCCATATTTCATGTACTCTTTTTAACTTAGGGCATTTAAAAACGTTTTGTTTAAAAAAGTTTTTTATTTATAAATAATTTTATACTTTTTAGTTTTATTGTGTGTGCATGTTAAATCTATTTCAAGCATCTATATCAGATTAAGACAGAGGCATGTGGGAAATGTATCGCTCCGGTGAAATAGAACATTGTTTCATAACCTGATTAGGGTAGCATTTTTTCTTCCAGATATCACAACACTTGTCACAAAAAGTGTTTTGGTTAGATGGAAATCACCTTCCCGTTGAGCATAGGCCTGACGCTGACGTAGTAGTCTTGCCGATTTACAAACTTGCGTAGCTCGCTTACCCCATTTGGCTAATCTTGCCGATTTACAAGTCTTCGATTCATGTTGAAGCTTAACTTGTCTTTTCTTCTTCTCCTTCTCTAGCCGTAGCTTGCGTTGGGAGGCTGTCTCCTTCCAATAAGCCGTGGATTGAGCATAGGCCTGACGCTGACATAGTCTTGCCGATTTACAAACCTCCGATTCCTGTTGAAGCTTAACTAGTTTTTTTTCTTTTCCTTCTCTAGGCGTCGCTTGCGTTGGGTGACTGTCTCCTTGACCATAATATGAGTTATCATGCAATATTCACAAATAATTGATATTATTACATGTTTACAGTTCGTTAATCCGAAAACTCACAATATATAATAATTTAACCATAGTTTGTTATGGAATTTCTCTGCAATGCATTCACTCGAAATATTTATTGTTTACTTAATAGAATACTAAATAAACAAAAATTGACATTATTTACAAACACCTTGATACCTGCCAGATTGTTTATCTTTATTTTGAAATGTTTGTTTGTATTGTATAAAGAATCTCTTGGGAGCATAACCTGTACCTCTTAACCTCTGCTCTTCGAACTGTCAAATTTAAGTATTTACAGCTGACTTAAATTAGTTGATATATTTACATCCTTTCAAAATGTAAACATGAAAAATTTGGAAGCCCATGGGGCGTAGCCCAAGGGAAATATGAAAGTTAAATGATATAATATTGCATTGTCATGCATTTGTGAGCTATGTTTCAAATTTCAAGTCTCTAGCTTATCGGGAACATCGTTTAAAATTGATATCAAAATTTGTAGGAAACCGAGCTAATAAAAACAAGCCCATGGGGCGTAGCCCGAAAGGAAATATGAAAATTAAATGATATAATATTGCAATGTCATCCATTTGTGAGCTATGTTTCAAATTTCAAGTCTCTAGCTCATCGGGAAGTATCAAAATTTGCAAGAAATCGATTTAATAAAAACAAGCCCATGGGGCGTAGCCCAAGGGAAATATGAAAATTAAATTGTATAATATTGCATTGTCTTCCATTTGTGAGATATGTTTCAAGCTTCAAGTCCCTAGCTCATCGGGAAGTTAGTATAAAATCGGTTGCAAAATTTGTAGCGGACAAGAAAGCGACCTAATAAAAACGTTTTAATAATAAAAAGAGTATCTGTGCAAAACCTAAAAGCTACCGCACAATAAAAGAAAACAATTTACTCGACATTAGCTCACTCAGTCAGCATTGTCAACATTAAAAACACAAATTGAAGCTTGTTTTTGTATGAGTTCTTCTCGTAGTTTTACTATAATATGATGGGCATTGGTTTGTCAGGTTACCTTGGTTTGTTTTTTCGTTGAGGAGTGTTGCCTTGGATGAGGGAAAATCTGGAGGATAACAGGATAAAATGTGACACTTTTTGTGGACATTTCTCGTCAGTTTTTGAGCCCACGCTGGACCTTCCTCTTCCTTCGTGCTTTTCTCCCAACTCCCAACGACCAACAACAACTACTGCTTATATAAATGCACCTTTTCTCTCCATGAAGTATACAAAATATTAGCTAGGGTGAGTTCACCTTCCACCATGGAGTTCACCAGTAAAATGACCATCTATCTATATATACGAGAGGTCGTCCAGTGGTCGAAACTCGACCAAAAATATGTAATGTACTCACTTAACTATTTTCACCCCACACTGTAAATAAAACATGTGATTGGAGTTTCCTCCATTTGTTTTGATTTTCTGTTTATATTTCGTTGTTATTTCGTAACCAGCATAGCAACGCATAAGATCCATGTTAATTTTTTACAACTTTTAAACTTATTTTTTGTGCTTATCTTTGAGCCTATTTAAATTTATAAAGGGATTCTGCACACCTACAGGAAAATAGCTTTCCAACGGTATGCGTAGATTTTCCCTACGATGCACACGAGCTGAGAAAAAAGGTTTTAAAGAAACATGCTTGCCTATTAATATATAGATAGATAGATAATACGCTAAGCCGATTTTTGTAAACAGAACTCCTCCCTCATTTTTGGACCGATTTTGATGATTAAAGTTTCAAAAGAATGGCCCTGATCTGTAGTTTTGCAAAGTGTTTTTATTTTTTTGAAATCTTTATTAGTTCGGGCTGGATCTTCCATCAAAGTTGGGTTTTCTCCCATAAGATTAACATGGTGGAACCTAAATATTTAATTGGAAACTTTGTCTCGACTAATTTAAGAGAACGACTGGGCGTATAAACTTGGTAGAGGTGTCCAAAGAAAGGTCTTGGTCTGTAGATGAGTTATCAAAAGAAAAACAAAGTAAATTCCCTTAGGGCTCTGCCCCAGAAGATACCTCCACAGATTTGTTTACATTTTGGTAATGTGGATAATACTTTTTAATGAAACAGCTGTTAATTTTTAAATTGTATTTTAAACAACACATGTATTGAGAGTTACTGAACTGTCCAAAGGCAGTATTTGCAATGTTATTTTCATGAACTCTTAGCGAGCCTGGTATTAGGCTAACGAAAAAGGGTTGTGCACATACTAGCGCTATTCAGCAACAAAAACAATTTAATTTATCTCCAAAAAATATATTCTTAAAGTGCACTGAGCAGCAGCTAAAAAATACTATGTAACTTCCTCATATAGTTACAAAATGCTCAAACTCGCATTGTGACATTTATGAATCGGCTTATATTTCTCCAACAGTCATTCATCTGCAGAAGAAGTTCATTGTGCTCTTATCGTGTCTAATAACATCCAAACACAAAAACCTTGCCTAAAATGGTACCGATCTTGACAAATTATTTGCAGTGGCCTATATTACGGACCGTGGCCCACTGGGTTGGTAACATTATTGAAAGTAACACTATATTTTGGCTGTAAGAGTAAATACTATTTAAGCAGCTACTGTCATGACAGAAAGGTCATATTCCTTTTAAACTAGATCACATTATCCTTTATAAGATACGTTGATTAACAATGCATGTAAACGTCAATAATTACGTATTAGCCAATTTACAGTATATTTTTTTCTCTTTGGAATGCCACATTCCTATTTCATTTGCATTATTTTTTGCCAATGAAGCCACACGACCATATAAACGAGGAGGCCCTTAACCGTCGATTTCGACGGGTTTCACCTAGTAAAGTATAAAAAACCATTATTACGATTTTTGTTCTGCCGACTCTACCTCAAACGGTCTTAAAAGTATCTTTGGAGTCTGACTGGAATCTACCCTGTTACTGGTTAAGAAACTACCAAATACCATGACAAATTAAGTAACCGTGTTTGTAAGAGACGCTATAGCTTGAAGGTGGAGAGGTAGATAGGATGAAGATGAATTAGTTGGAACACTTAATTTTGCTTGTGTTATAAAAGGACGACTTGATTGACACTTTTTTACCATTGACAGGGTAGAGTATATTCTAAACAGGCCCTTAAGTAACTTTTAAGACAGTTATTGATAGACTAGGCAAACCAAAAAGCTTGCTGGTACCTATGATGTTTTATACGAAACAGTAATTTATAGGTGGTAATCCACTGGTGAACTCGCCTAACCAAAAGGAAATAATTCTTAAAGAGTCAATAGCATTTTATAAAATAACAGCATCATAGTAAAATATATAATATTATTGGACTAGGAAATTATTAAAACATGTAAAACATTGTGGGGCTAGTAGGGTTGGCATTATTTACCAGTCTGGCTGGCCTTTGGCCATGGCCAGCATTATTATTTCCGGTAATATTCAATTGACAATTGGCAAACATGAAAGCATTGTAGTTTATTTGAAAATATTCATCTATCGTTCCGATTATTTTCCAACGATACTCTATACAGCCGATATCGCACATCACAGGTCCGAGGAGTTGACACTGAGACCCCTAGTATGGTAATGGCGGGGTTTAGGTGGATGGCCTCAACTACCCAAGCTTACCAAAGACAATACGGTTTTTGTTGTTCGTTTCAGTAAATATTTTCTAATTAAGTAAAGGAAAAAGTGAGTCCGAGGTTGGTGACCGGAGTCACGGGCGAGTAGTTTCGTTTTTGTGATCGGCCTTCACTCTTCAGACTTTGTTGTTTACTCTCAAGTCTTACGTATTTACTAACCACTTATAATTAAGACAGTTCACACTTATGCGTATTGTCTAAGGAGTATGTTTTATCTATGGTATTGCTGAATAGGAATGTAGTGTATGCGCAGAGTAAATAACCCAGCTATTACTTACTAAACATCAGCTGTTTTTTTAGCAAGAATTATTTTCAAAAGCCCGATAATCAAGGCAAACTAG